CCCCCCCCCCCCCCGCGGGCCTGCCCGTTGTTGGCCTGCGCGGCGCTGCGGCGGCGCGACCTTTCACCCACTTCTCGGGAGCGGTCACGTGAGCGGGCCCGGAGAGGGGCGGAGCGGAGCGGGGGGATGCGCCCCCCACCGGGGGCTGCCCGCGGGGCTGGAGCGGGGCCGCCGGGTCCCCCGCCTTCCGGGAGGGAAATTGGCGAGAGGGGGTGGGGGACACGGGGCAGCGCAGGGCCCGCAGCAAAGACAAACACACGCAGGTTGCGGGGCGGTCGGCGGTTGAAGTGAGTGTATTAAAAACAAAAAAAAAAACCCCAAAACCACCACACAACCGTGTATTTTTCTTTTTACTTTTCCAAAACCATTATCTTTGTCCTGCAGCACGCTGTATCATAGTCCTGAACTCCACATGTTCAGAAAAACAAGATCTAAATGGCTGAAAAGCATCTTCTCTGAAGAGGAGCCTGGATTAACTTCAATTTGAATGGTCAATTTAAATATCTGTAAAATGTTTGGAACTGGTTCTTCAGTCTTTCAACCTTCTACAGGCTGAAAGACCTTAATTCAGATTCTTTCAACCTTGTACAGTAAATGATCATTGAACTACTGCGACAGTGATCCAATCAGTTTGCCTTTGGTCACCAAACACTGTTGTCCCTCTTCCAGGATCTCCAAAGTCCTAAAACGTGACATCTTGCATGTCTCCTAAAAGTCCTGCTATTCCAGAAATATCTGTTGTTATAGGGAAGATAATTCTTCTTTACTGCATGAGAACAGAAGCTCATTAGTGCAAAGGGAGAGAGAAGGAATAAAACTTGTGTAATCTAAATACCTAGGTATGTTTTTTATAGCAGTATTAAAAAGAAATACCTACAACCTAGGGCGTAGTTTCTTGGGGGTGGAGGAGGTTTCTGCATGGTATGGTAACTGTGCAGTGTTTTAATTTTTTACACTCTTCCCTTTTCGTATACGCCCATTGCTCCACTTGGGAAGGGAATAAAGAAATCAGTCCAGGATTGCAAAGGAGATGCCTGCAGAGGGTAGGTATCTGATATTCACCCGCAGGTGATCTTGGAAAGCTCTTGAGGTGAGGACATAAACTGATAGGTTTGTCAGTGGGACAGCAAGTTATAGTAAACTCCTTCTCTGTCCTGATTTCAAACTGTCTGCTTTGGGTAAGGTTTGCAGTAGGTCTCGGTGTTGCTGTACCTGTGCAAATACATGTATTCAGTTCTCCACCTTGGCATGCACCACAACATTTGTTCATTTTTTAGATGTGAGAAATTCTTTAAGACATTTGTAATTCCAAGGGAGTGCAACTGTCAGCTGTAGGTGAGGGTGGGAAGGATTGGAGCCAATGACTAGCAATAACCAAAGATGAGAACTTGACATTTGTATGTCAGATGATGGCTGTTGGAGGAGAGACTTGTGTCTTTTTCCAAGTGTCTTGAAGCCACTTCAGTCATGGCTTAAACATTCTTTAAATAATATAATTGTAAATGATTTAGTATCACTCTTTCTTCCTCACCCATCTCTATTCCTAGTTGATACCTAAGTGCTAAGCTAAACTAAATTTTGAAGTTATGTTTATTTTAATAAAGGATCGAATAATTCTTCAAGATCAGATTTCTGGTTGTTTTGATGGTTTTTTTTCCTTCTAAGCTTGCTAGTAGGAGCTTGGCAAGAGTCAGAAGACACCACCTACGTGCTAAGGTACTTCTCATTGCTCTATTGGTGGTACTTTGCATCTTCATGAAGTTATGAGGGCTTCCAAGGCACTTCTAAATTCAGAACTGTCATCATACTTTAAGACATGGCACTACGTGTCCTTGTGCTAAGAGCTAGAACATGCTGCAAGTCTGCCCACTATCTATGAACAGACTGTGGTTTCAGTACCAAAGATGTCTATTTGAGGGTTCTGATAGTATGAAACCTGTGTGGGATGGTACGTAGCAGTGTTCCTGGAGAAACTGTATGCGACAGTCACTGCTTTTCCATGAAAACCATCAACCTTTGATGGCCAAAGTAGACTAATTGGAGAGAATTGTTTTGTGAACTTAGCTCTGTATGTAAAAGCTAATCTATAAGTAGATGTAAAAAATCAGTGAGGAGAGCCTCAAAAACTAAATTGTTGAAGTAGCTTGCAAGTGAGAGTCATAGAATTAAGTTTTTCCCCAAGGTTTTAGCTATTCTGGGTCATGTGAATAGGACTTCTTTCCGGTTTTTCTCTGCATTTGTTAACTTGCTTTCTTTGCAGGAAAAGGAGCTTCAGGAATTCATACCTTGTTTTGTGCATTGTACTGTAGTACATTTAAATTTTGTATCGTGGCTTGGTGCTTTTTAAGATGCACGTGGTGATTTTTTTTTTTCATTGTCTTTTAGACATTGTGTTATGTGCTTTGGATGTTACCAACCACAAGTGATTTCTTGCATGCCTGGCTAAATGGAAGCATCCTGCACATGGGCTCTCTTTTAGCTTCAGATTTTCCAGAGCTGAGGCCCTCATCTTCTTCCATGGCTGTAGGAACATGTAAGCCCTAATACAGAGTTGCCTGTTCAGTGTCTGCAACCTGAAGTCATAAGATCTGTGAGCAGTCTATGAGTTAAACCTCAGTCTTCATAGTGTAAATGTCCTCAAAGTGCAAAGAAAAATAGCAGTCTGAGGAGGCTTTATGCATAGTAGGCATAGCAGCATAGTTTTTCAGACCATCAGGGCTTAGGCATTGTATGTGTTTTCTTGACTTAAAAATAACATCTAACCTAGCAGTACAATGGAAACAAAATGTGGTTAAGTTTCGATTGGCTCCAGTAGAGATGTGAAAGGAGAAGAGGAAAAACATCTGCAGCTGTTACAGCATGTTTGAAGTAAAACCAGAAAAGAGCAAGGAACAGGAAGCTTTTTCCTTTGATTAAAGTCAAACAAAAAAATAAAAATCCAAGTTTTAAGGGGCAAGTATGTTTTTTAAGATACATTATGAGAGAATACTGAAAGGAATGAAAATAGTCATTTCAGATTACTTTAGAAATTGTTGTGCTGGTTTTTTTTGTAAGTAAGATTTGGCCAAACTGCTCAGAAAGTCAAAAGCTCTTGTTTACGGCTCTCTGTTGGGAATGAGGTTCATTAGTGTATGCTGTGCAGAAATATTTTGCTGACCACACTGCCTGAAGTTAGGAGTTATTGTTTCAGTGTTAGTGAGCTGACTGATGTGGGCGCCGCCTTACTAAGGCTGGCAAGTCAATTTTCTAAGTGTAACGCATGCTCCTCCGGCCTGTGCCCTTTTACCTACTTTGCTAGCAACCACGTGACAGCAGAGGAATGCAAAGGAGGGGAAGTGTACAGCAGCTTATGATTAAATTGGCCTTTAAGGAGGGGAGTAAGTGTTCAAAGAAAGGGACTTCAGGAAATCTTTGGTGTTCAGCCATCATCATTCAGAACAGTCTTAAAGGCTTGCCGGTTTCTTAAGTAAAGGAAAAGGATGTGAAAAGAAACAAGCCATTTGATTGTTTCACATCTTAGGGTCAAGTAGTACAGTCCTAGAACTAGACTTGTCTGCTTTCAGGGCTTGTTTACTTGATGCAGGATTAATACTTGCTGTATTAATATTTCTTCATTTGGGAATGAGAAATATTTTCCTTATTAAAGCTTATTTAATTTTATGATCATGCTAGGCTTTAATTCATTAAAATAATCAGGATGACTGTTCATGATTAATGCTATTTATAACCTTTTTCTACCTTGGACAGTAGACACACATGTGCCTAAAAAGGGAAGGGTTCCTGAAATTCTTTCTTTTCAGAAATAGAAAGGAGGATAGTTACAAATTCCCAGTCTGAGAAGTCACAGGAAAATTGATGGGTAATAGAAACTAGTTGATCTGGTATTTAAGACACTGGCATTCCAGAATACAAAATTCCATGAGTGAACTGGAGAACCTGTTGACGCTCCTTGAGACAAATCCGGGTGCCTGATTCCCTGTATGGGAGTATGGTTGCTTTTGTTGTGGTTTGTTTTTTTTCATCTCGGTCTTAATAGCACTGTTAAACTTCTGATGAATTTTGAGTGCTTTACCCTTTTGCAAATCCAGGGGCTACCATGTATTACTGCTGCCTCTTTCTGTTTTATTGCTCTCTTGCAATTTTGGTCCCAGCATTGAACTGGTGATGCACGATTTAAATGAATGAAGGGACAGCTGATTTACGACTTCCTGATACTTGTCTGCAGCAAGGCCCTTATGAATAAGCAGTTGTTAGTGACGGAGTCATTAAGTACTACAAATTGCAGTTGTTACTAGGGCATACAGGGCTTGTCTTAAAGGTTTTGAAAGCGGTGTTCAAAGCAGATCTGGTTTGTTTGTTGTCCTAATTAGACACTGTACATGACTAGATCAAGTTGCATACTATCTGTATGACGCTAAGCTTTAGCCACCCTTCTGGAAACCCAGAAGCCTGATTCACCCAGGAATCAGGAATTCACTCAGCCTCTGAAACTTGAGCAGTGGCTGATGGAATTTGGAGTTCTGTGAATTGCCACCAGCCACTGTAGCAGTAGTTGTATTGCAGAGGCTGATCATTGCAGGCTGGTCTAGGGGTAGGCACTTTAAATACTGCCGACAGTCACTACCAGGAGTCAGCAATCCTACTAGGTCCTGCACAATAGCACTTATCTTGTTCATCTCTGCCTGATCACAGAATTACAGAATCTTAGTGGTTGGAAGGGACCTCTGAGACCTCTGATGTTCCTTCTCTTCCTGTATTGTTTATTTATTTCCTAAGCCTACTATTACTGCATCATTTCCAGTACTTACATTTCCTAGTTCTCTGCTCGTGCACCTTTGTGCTCCTGCTTTGTTCTCCAGATGACTTTGCCATAGCAGAATATTTGCAGACTAGAGCAGCATCACTACAGTCATAATAAACTGCTTTTGAAGTGCCCAGCTAAACTGCACTAGCTATCCCTTGCATGCTGTTCAACATGAACATCTATCAGAATTTAAATTTAATTGCAAAGTCTAAGCTTCAGGTTTGCAAAAGCAATGTGAATGTCAGCCTTTAGGATTCAAAAGGCATGAAGTAATTGTACTTTCTTTTGATTTTTGCTTAAATAGAAATGCCAGTGCCACCTTAAAACACTTGGTATTGGTAATGTTGTGGAATGGAATGGTATGGAAAGAAGGAAGCTATGAAGATTAGCTGATAAATAAAAGCATACTGTTCAGTTCGACTTAGCCGTATCCTCAGAATTCAGACATAAATATGTAAGCAGAATCACAGTTACTTTTCTGCTTTAACTTCCAGTGGTTTTTATTTGATCCTGTTATGCCTGCCCATTATGATGGTCTTTTGTCTGTATTGACACCATTGTTGATATTTGTTTGGGTAGTTTAACTGAGCTGCATTTCAATTAAATTTCCTCATAATTTCAGGTTTGTTTATGTGAAGGTCATTTTTAAGACCTTTGTAATTTGGTTTCCTCAACTCCACATAGTTTTGATTTTGCACTTATTTACCAGTCAGAACTTAGAGCCACAGGGGCTATAGTATCTTATTGCTGTGACTAATCAACTTGAAATTATTGTGGAATGATTAGAGTTGAAAGGAACCTTCAAGATCATCCAGTTCCAACCCCCTGCCATGGGCAGGGACACCTCCCACTGGACCAGGTTGCTCAAAGCCCCATCCTGCCTGGCCTTGAATGCCTCCAGGGATGGGGCATCCACAGCTTCTCTGGGCAACCTGTTCCAGTGTCTCACCACCCTCACATTAAAGAATTTCATCCTAATACCTAATCTAAATCTACTCTCTTTCAGTTTAGAAGAGTTACCCCTCATTGTATTACTACACTCCCTGGTAAAGAGTCCCTCCCCAGCTCTCCTGTAGGCCCCCTTTAGGTACTGGAAAGCTGCTATAAGATCTCTCTGGAGCCTTCTCTTCTCCAGGCTGAACAACCCCAACTTTCTTAGCCTGTTTTCACAGGAGAGGTGCTTCAGCCCTCTGATCATCTTCATGGCTCTTCTCTGGACTTGCTTCAGCAGGTCCATGTCCTTTTTATGTTGGGGGCCCCAGAGCTGGATACAGTATTCCAGGTGGGGTCTCAGAAGAGAGGAGTAGATGGGCAGAACTGCCTCCCTTGACATGATAGCCATGCTTCTTTTGATGCAGCTCAAGATGTGGTTGGCTTTCTGGGCGGCAAGCGCACATTGCCAGCTCCTCTCATCAGGTCCCATGGAATTGTGCTCCTTCAGGTTCCTTAGATGGTCTCAAACCTGGTATTCTCCTGTAGTGGGCAGTTCCTCATTCTCCCAGTCCCTGCCTTTGCCTTCTGCGATTTGGGTGGTGTGGCTAGAGCCCTTGCTAGTGAAGACCAGCAAAAAAGTCATTGAGTACCTCAGCCTTGTCCATATTCCAGGTGACCAGGTCTCCTGTTTCCTTTTGGAGTGGGCTCACGTTTTTGCTAGTCTTCCTTTTTTCACGAACATACCTATAGAAGCTGTTCTTGTTGCCCTCGATGTTTCTGGCCAGATTTAACTGTCTGGGCTTTAGCTTGCCTAGCCTGATCCCTGGATGAACACAATTTCTCTGTGTTCCTCCCAGGCTACCTGTCCTTGCTTCTATCCTCTGTAGGCTTCCTTTTTGAGTTTAAGTTTCTCCAGGAACTCCTTATTCATCAGTGCAGGCCTCCTGGTGGTTTTGCCTGACTTCCTCTTCGTTGGGATGCATTGCTTCTGAGCTTGGAGGAGGTGGTAGTTGAATATTAGCCAGCTTTCTTGGGCCCCTTTTCCCTCTAGGGCTTTATCTCATGGTACTCTACCAAGCAGATCCCTGAAGAGGCCAAAGTCTGCTTTCCTGAAGCCCAGGGTAGTGAGCTTGCTGTGTACCCTCCTTGCTGCCCTAAGGATCTTGAACTCTACCATCTCACAGTCACTGCAGCCAAGGCTGCCCTTGAGTTTCACATTGCCCACCAGCCACTCCTTGTTGGTGAGAACAAGGTCCAGCATAACGCCTCTCCTCTTTGACTCCTCTATTACTTGGAGAAGGAAGTTATCCTTAATATGTAAATTAAGTTAATATAACTAGGAGCAGCTTTGGTTTGCTAGCTGACATGAAGACTTCAAATACTTTTTGTTTCAAAATGATGAAAAAAAAATTAGTTTCTGAATCTCCTTTATCACCACAGTGAGATGTTATGTACCTGTGATCTGCTTTTTCTAAATATTATGGCTTCAATTTTCTGCTGTGCCCTGAATTTTTATATACTGTTTGTATGCACAATATTCAGCTTTCTGCAAGCCTGCCAAAAGACCTAAGTTACATGAGAATGTTTTGCTTCCATTTTCAGCTGCTGTGGTTAGAAGAGGTATCTTAATTAACATACTGGGAGCCCAGACTGAAGTGCAAGCGTAGCCTGTAAAGAAAAGGCAAGTACTGTATGCAAATTTCTCATACTTTGAAATATTTCTCAAAATCATTGTGTAGAAGATGCCTTGCTAGAAAGGGACTAGCTCGTAGTTCCTTTGAACAAAAAGGAAATAACTTTTTAACTTTGCTTTGTTGACAGAACTCTCTCTGAAAATGGCGGAAGCTCATCAAGCAGTAGCTTTTCAATTTACAGTAACTCCAGATGGTATTGACCTGCGTATGAGCCATGAGGCACTCAAACAAATTTACCTCTCTGGTGTCCATTCATGGAAGAAAAAGTTCATCAGATTCAAGGTATTTTAAATGAGTCAAGTTCACCAAACTTTAGGGTTATTTAATGTTTTATAGATTTATTGAAGTTTTGTTTAGGCAAAAATTAATTTCTTTTCCTTTATGTTGAATAAAGTTCCTTATTGTAAAAGAGTTGTAGGAGTTTTAGTTAAGGGATACCGTGGATTGTAGCACTGAGCGATGCTGTGAAGACTGAAAGGATAGAACTTTTTCATCTTCTTTCCATAGAATAAATCAAACAGATGTAGAAATTCAATAGGTTTAGTTTACTTCATTCTTTTCATAATATATCACGTTATTAAGTAATCTTTTAGCGTAATTTAGAAATATAACTACTTGTGATTTTTAGTGTCACATCACTTAGAGGTACAAGCCAATACTCTTGATTTTATGTATTCTTTGCCAAAATTAAGTTTTCAAATTAATGAGAATATTTGCTGTTTTCAAAAGGATACCTGAACATTTAGGTTGTTCAAGTTATGCTAAGTGGTAATGTTTCTGATGAGGTATTTGATACAGATTTCTGTGAATTTGTTGTTTTGTTCATGGGATCGTAAATAAGAAGTATCTAGTTTTTTTAGTAGCAAACTAGATAAGCTACAAACTATCTTCAGCATCTTTCTAAAACATATTTTTAACAGTAGTCTTAATAATATCTTCTTATAAAGCTGTGAGAAGGACTGTTTAAATGATGTATATAAAAAAAAAAAAACAACCCACAAAAAAAAAAAAACAACCCACAAAAAAAAAAAAACAACCCACAAAAAAAAAAAAACAACCCACAAAAAAAAAAAAACAACCCACAAAAACAAGAAAACAAACAAAACAACCAAACCCCACAAACCAAACACTCCACTTGATTCTGGTTTTCAGTGTTTCGTTCAGTAGATTATTCTTGCCATGTATTCATTTAGAGTGGCCTAACACAGTGTAGGTAGGAATTATTGAAATGTCATTTGTTCCAAAGTTATTTGCTAATTTCAGTATTTTTAGTAAGACTTGCATATGGATCAGTGTTGTCTACAACAGAACTTAAAAGTTCCTTTAATTCTTTATATCATTGTGACAATTTTCTGTAACAGTCGAATTTAACTAAATCCATTCCCTACCCTTGAGTTAAGCATATGTAAGAAAATGATGGATAATCTTAATATCTTGTTTAAATGACTTAAATGTGTTGATTTTTGTTTCTTTCCATGGTAATATGAAGTCAGCCACTTTGGTATGAAAAAATTATGTGAAGGCTTTTCTTTCCAGAATGGAATTATCACTGGCGTTTATCCTGCTAGCCCATCTAGCTGGCTTATTGTAGTTGTGGGTGTGATGTCAACAATGTATGCCAAAATTGATCCTTCTTTAGGAATAATAGCTAAAATCAACCGAACACTTGATACAACGTAAGTAGATTGAAAAGTTTCTGTTCCTCTAAAGGAAATCAGTTTTATTTGTAGCTACTCTTAAAACTAACCCTCTTAAAGTGTATCAATTTTTGAACAGTATTGTGACAGAGTTAGCCAAATAAACAGATGTATGAGAGTATGGAGTAGGTTGTTATAACAGTATTACTACATTGTTTTCTGAGTATTTAAGAAGCATATTTGGCAACTTCTGTGGCCTTTGAGCTTGCTGCATGAGAGGGTGTTTGGAAAGGAGTTTATGAAAAAGGGCTAAACAGGCATGAAACTTGAGTAATGCCTGTCTGTAGTACCATTGGACTTTGGTTTGCAATATTATGTTCTCTTTAAAACTTAAACTGATGTTAACTGGCACATGCTGGCTTTTGTTTTAAATAGTGGCTATATGTCAAACCAAACACAGAACATCGTGAGTGGAATACTTTTTGGCACAGGGCTTTGGGTTGCCCTTATTGTCACAATGCGCTACTCTCTAAAAATGCTGCTTTCCTATCATGGTTGGATGTTCGCTGAACATGGCAAACTTTCTGCAGGCACCAAGTTTTGGATGGTAAGGATATATTGTCTTCCTGTTTCATCTTAGCTTCTATGCAATCTGTATTCAGAGCCCTAAAAGAAAAGTTTTGTTGGTTTTTCCTTGCTTGTGTTTTCTGGGTCATGGGACAGGAGGCTGCTAGGTAGATATTTTTACTAATTACTGTCGTCCTTCTGATGCTATAATTAAACTATTCAGGATGGCCTTGTAGAAGGAAGAGTAAACACTTAAAGAAGAACATCTAAATTTGCCAATCCCTTGGGACTGTGTGAGTCAAATACCTACTTTTTCTCTGTGCACAGCTACGGCTTAAAGAACTTGGGCTGCGGCACCAAAGAATCTTGTCCTGCCCAGAAAGTGCAACCCTAATTCTTTGTTGACTAGAAATTCTAACATTTCATCCATTTTAAAATTAATCTTTTGCTTGAAGAAAATAATATTTATTGTCCTTTCAATTGATTTATTGGTATGCCTCCAAAATGAGATGGAGAAAAAATGTAAGGCAGGTAGCTTCTTATGCAGTTTTCACATGAGGATAAGATGAGAGTGACTGTGGTGCTTTGGAAAAGAGTCCTTAAAGGATGTGATAGATGTGAAGTGAGGAAATGTACATGTAGGTGCTCCAAGAGATGAAGTGGGTTTTTGTTAATACTTGGACTTTTGCTAGTATTGTTGTAGAAATAACTGAAGTGCAATAAAAGTAGTCTCTGCAGCCTCAAAAATTAACTGATGAGTGTTAGACTAACAACACATAATGATTTATTATGAAATATGTTCAAGAACAGGTATCCAGAATGGTACACTAAAATAGAATTTAATCTTCATCTGTTACAAATGAAATTTCTAATTGATAGTTTCTCCTGGAAGCGGTATCAGGAGCCTCATGACTCGAATTTGTACAGTACAGGCTCTGAAGGGTAAGGCTTTCTGTCAATTGCTTGAAGCTGTAGCTGTCTGGGTTTTCAGCATGTCCTACCAGATAGATATTTTAAAGCTGTTGATACTGCCTTATCAACTTTAAATAGTATGAACTGTAATGCTACTTACCATGCTTTGTTGCATATTGTATTTATAAGTTTTTGTTTATTGTATGTTGCATATGTATTTTTTTGTGTATTGTTGTATATTATATATGTTTTAAAATACAGAACACTGTAAAGGTGTATGTCCAACAGTGTCTCATCTATGAGACACTTAATATGAAGCTCTATTTTAATACGCTATTATTTCTTTAGCTAGTCTCAACAAAAGAGAAGAGTGGTTTCCCTAGTAAAACTGTACCAACTACTTTAGCTTTCTAGATTTCTATTATCCTTTAATATTGTGTATTTTTCTGGAGAGACTTTCCTGTTGTGGTGTTTGTTTGGGTTTTTTTTGCTGATTAACAGCATGAAAAATGCTATCGTGAATATACTGTCTTCTGTTCAAATAGTCATGCAGATAAAAAAACTTGAGCTCTGATTTCAGGCACAGTACAAAGTAATTTTCAGTCTGGTTGGAAGTCTGGTGACACTTTTAATGAACGTATTTCATCTTCTAAAGTCAAATTTCCTGTACCAGGGTTAGGGGAGAAATCCAAGTATTAATTGCAGTTTTAAAAAATAAGATAAAAATAATAATCTGTGAACAGATACAGTGCATGTTAGAATGAGATTATTTGCTGTGCCTGCATGTGAAATCAGAGATGTAATTAAGTACGTGTGTCTGTCAGAGTGCTTTAATGGTCTCAAGCTGTTATGAATTCTCTATTACAAATTTACTTAAGAGAAGAAATAGAGTGAAATGTATGTACTGATTTGGTCAATTGAGCAGGTACTCTGTCTGAACATTATTTCCACCTTTCTTGGCTTAAGAGTTCTAGAATAAAATTTTCCCTAAGTATGGAATTAGATTTTCTTAAGAAAAGCTGGGCTTCTTATTTTTTCCTCACCTGGCTTCAAATTTATCTTGTCATGAAGCACAACTGGATTTCATTGGGCTGATGGTTGTGGTGCATCCATGTGTACCTGTCAGCTCTCTGGTACAGATCTGTTTGCAGCAAGGTCTTTGTTGCTGGTAATTGTCTGCAATTCTTAATAGTTTTTTGCTGCCTATAACAATCTCCTCTATCTGTGCTGACCAAGAAAGCTGAGGGGCAGGGAAGAATCTCCACACTTTATCAAGTAGCCTTGACACTTGTAGGGAGAAGTTATAGGAATTTAGCAGAGAACTGACATCCTCTGTTTTTTTCTGTCTTTAGTCTGTGGGCCTATATATGATATATGCTGTAGTATATTGGATGGAGATTGGATTTTGACAATAAAAGTTCCATCAGATCATTGGTGTAATACTTGACCTTACTTTCATCCTGAAATAGGGTGATAATATCAAAATACTTTCATGTGTAGCCTAGAGTGGCACGGCCTAGACTTTCAGCCTAGTGTGTGTCACAGCTGAGAAGTAGTTGTAGACAGAAATGCTGCTTCTCTCTTTAGTTTTCCATGGAAAAACAGGAGATGCTGTAGTATCTGAAGCTAAGATGGGAGCTGTCATCTCTGGCTCTTTTGTTTCGATAGGTTTTTTTGTAACAAGCACCAAGTAGAACTCTGGCGTGCTTGCACAATTTAGTATATTCAGATCATGCAGTAGACTATCTGAGATAGATTTATGCTTGAAGAAACTCCAGTAACATCAATGCTATTGTAGATCTTGAGCTGTAACTTTGGAAAATACTTAACTGTAATTCCAAAGCATGATTATTATTTTTAAAAGTGGCTATAATTATCTAGAATCTTTAGCTGAGTGATGGGCTTGATAATGATTCCTGTTGTGAAGCACGATATAGATATTTTTGTAGTATCTACTATATAGTAAAAGGATCAACTCTTAGACTTGCTTTTATAATCTTTACACAGGGAAATCTATGAAGAAAAGAAGTGCTAAGTAACTCTGTCTATTTTCTGTTGGCATCAAGGTTGCCATTCATAAACAGCAATGCTGCCCAGTGACCAGAAGACTGTCTGAGAAGTCAAGAATGACTATGACTGGCCTCTTCCACTGACATGTTGTTTAACCTTCAGGAAGTTAGTTCATGTCAGTGCCTTTTTTACTTGTGAAACAGTGATAAATATGATAGTTTGCTAAAATTAGTACAGTATAATTTACCAGTGAAAAGAACTATGAGTTACATCATGCTTTAGTATTCTGTCATTTTTCTTTTGTTGAACCTAATAATTTGAGGTGTGCATTTTGTTTTTATTTTTCTTCAGACACTCGTAAAACTCTTCTCGGGACGTAAGCCCATGTTATACAGTTTCCAGACATCTTTACCACGATTGCCAGTTCCAGCTGTTAAAGACACAGTCAATAGGGTGTGTACATTCATTAATTCATTTTCTTCAGTAGCAATGAATCTGTATTTAAATGCCCTCATGAGTTTTTTGGGGGTTTTTTTGTCAAGTCTTATAAAAGTGTTGCATGGTGGTGTTAATGTGGTGTAATGGATTAAAACTTCTGCAGAGAAATTACAATATAGGCTATGACAAACCACTGAAACTGGTGACAATTTGGAGCTGATGTAATTCATATTGGATGGTGTGATGTCTGTTAATCTAAGACTATGCAATAAACTGTGATTTCCAGGGCTTTTGAAAAATACCGGTTTTGTTATCTTCCATAGCTTGAACATATAAATGTGTTTTTTATGACACAAAACCTTGTAGCAAAGTTTGTAAGTAGGACACTGTCACAGAAACTGAAGATTTGATTTTTTTTTTGAGAGGAGAAAAAAAAATATCTCTGCCTGACTTCCCTTTTGAGTTGAAAATGTATCTTTAGAAAAGTAGCCTCTTCCACTTGTGATTTGCTGACAAATGTCTGAGAAAAGATCTCATTTCTATAGTTTGCAGGCAGATGTTGAAAAGAGCGTATGGTTTTATTTTAAGAACGTAGTATTTGCAACTCTATAAATTGAGTCTGGATGATCTTTGTCTACTATCCAAATGCTTTATGTAGGAATTGCAAGAAACTACATGTTAGTTACTATACTGATGCTGATTCTTTTCCTGTATTCTAGTATCTGGAATCAGTTCGGCCACTTATGGATGATGAAAAGTTCAAAAGAATGGAGGGTCTTGCCAAAGATTTTGCATATAATTTGGGACCAAGGCTTCAGTGGTATTTGAAGCTAAAATCCTGGTGGGCCACAAACTATGTGAGTAGATAAATAGGAGACTCAGTCATTCAAATGGCACAATTTAATTTGTTCTCTTTTGCCTTTTTTGGCTTGGCTTTCATTCTTTCTTAAATGTGAAAGATATTTTTGTAAATATTTTTGTAAAGTATATCGAAGACCACCTGATTTGCACAGAAATAACTTGTGTGATTTCATAAACAAACAGTATGGTGAATGGGACTTGAAATAATGAATCCTCATTTTGTGTTTGTTATTCTGGAGCAGGTGATTTAGCTTTTGCTGTTAGGATTGCTTTTGAGGTCCGTTTATTTGTTTAAGCTTGATAACTCAACAATGGGCCTGGCTACCCAGGTAGTTTAGAAAACTGATTTAGGACAACTTTTTAATAGAGAGCAGTAAAAGCGTATGGGAAAGAAATAAAGAATTGTAACAATAAGTGGGGTTTTTTACCAAAAAGAAAACCCGAACCCCAACATTGTAGTGAGAACTGTAATATAATTTCTTTCTGATATATTACCTAACATCTAGCTGTACCCAGTAGCCTAAGCTGAGCTATAGTATCATGGCAAAGGCTGCAAAACATTCAGGAGATCTAAAACATTTTAGATATCATCTTCAGATGATGACTTCTTCAGAAGTTGACCAGAGAGCTACAGCTGAATTTAATTTAATTCTCTCACACCTTTTGCTGTTTTCCTTAAAGTTTAATGCAAAGTAGGTTTTTTTTGTTTGTCTTTAAGTCAGGGGGCAAGCTAGCAGTTTCCTTCCTGCTTCTGTATGGAATGTTGTGTTGTGGAGTTATTAACATCGAAGACTATCTGGAAATTATATGGGTTTTAATGCTTTTGTTTTCCTTTGTGCTACAGGTTAGTGATTGGTGGGAAGAATATATCTACCTTAGAGGACGTGGACCAATTATGGTTAATAGTAACTATTTTGCAATGGTAGGTACAGACTATAAACACCTTATGTGTCAAAGAAGCACTGTAAAATTTCTGCCAGATATGGCAGAAATAGAATGATATAATAATTATTAAATATAGTAATATTATTAATAATAATTTTGCGATAATATTTCTGTTTAGAAATTGATTGCCACTGAGTAAATTACCTTTGCTTTTCTTTCTTCTAGTATAACCTGCAGCCAATGTCTTCAAGTACAGTGCTATCTTAATAATAAATTTAGCACATCTGCCACTTAAGCAGACTCATGCAGTAATTACTTACGCAGTTTTGTGCTTACTGCAGCAAGCAATCTTTCAAAAGCTCTATGTAAAACTTCATAGATAACACAATTCAACAAGGTGTGTGCTTATATTCGCAAATGTCTGTATGGGAAGTAAAATCGTAAAAGACCCTAAAATTAAAAGCAAAAAGAGGAAATATAGTCATCTTGGATTCAAGTTTTAAGTAGTGTTGTCTTTTCTATTGGGATGATTAACAGCTGTAATGTATGTCTTAAGGCTGATGCTGTTTAAGGAGACTGTAACTGTTGGAGAAATTTTAGTTTCAAGTCATCAACTTGCTGCACAAGTGCAGTTCATATGTTTTCAAGCCTTTTCTATATTGACCAAAATAAACTTTAAGAACATGTATGAGATGTACTCTTGGTTGTGAGGGGTTTTTTTGTTTTTTTTTTTTTTTTTTTTTTTTTTGTTTTTTTTTTTTTGTTGTTGTTGTTTTTGTTTTTTTAAAATGTAGCCTGGTAATCATTAACTTACGATTCTCATTTACTTTACAGGATTTCCTTTATTTATCTCCCACAACCCTGCAGGCAGCTAGAGCTGGTAATGTTATCCATGCCACTCTACTCTATCGGAAAAAACTGGACAGACAAGAAATCAAGCCAGTACGTATATAAGTTTAAATGGCTTCTGATCTTTTTCCAGCACTGCCTGTAAGAAGCTGATCAGTTTTCAGAATGGGAGAGAAGAGGAATGCCTTATTGTCAGAACTACTTGTAAGATGTAACTAAATTTGTGGTCGCAAACATCTTGGTTATCACTTGAATTGCACATGGGCAGAAACTACCAACTATCAAAAATATGGGATTCTGTCATGCCAACTAATTGCAGTATATGAAATTAACATATGTATTTGTCCAAAAGACAAATAGAGGCTTGTATTTGAGTAAATATTCTGTATATCAGATGTTATTGGTATGTGCTAAGCATGTAATGGTACTTTTCAGCCACTGAAGTCTGAAAAGACTCAGATTGTGCAATATGAGCACAAGGGCTGGTTAGGACAAGGAACAGCACATTGAGGCCAAGAGTGAGCCAGTGGCAGCCTGGGTATAGATGATGATAAAATCCTGTGTTGCACCAATTTTTAATTAGCAAAGACAGGCAAGGTGAATCCCATTCTGAATTTCTGATCTGTCCAGTGGCTGTGTGTTGTAGCAATGAAATATTGTGGAAACAATTAAGTAGTTTTGTTGAAGATCATGGCAGGAATGTGATTAGTTGTATGTAACTATAAATCTGTGAACTTTTGCTCCAAAAAGCCAGAAGTAATTTTAAAAGTATAAATTATGGTGTAATGCATGCTGTATGTGGAAGTGTCACACCTCAACTGGCCATTGAGAGCTCTTTGGATTTCAGAAGCTAGCTAGCTTCAGTTATCCCTCTTGAAGGGTGAGCTTTTGGTAGGAGGGAAAAAAAAATATAGCCACTGGAATGTCAGTGGAGTCTCCCACATGTAGTTCAGGGAAGGACAATGAACAGAGCGGGGGAAAAAAATAACCCTGAGTTCATGTATTAGAAATCTTACTGTTCTGTGCCCTGTCTTTAACCAGATCATGTGTTTTCTTTCCTTTTTAATTTCCTAATTGTATATGCAAAATTAAATTTTAATGTTCTTTTGTGGCACAGATTCTTCTGATGGGATCTACTGTTCCACTGTGCTCAGCTCAGTGGGAACGGATGTTTAATACCTCCCGTATCCCCGGAGAGGAATCAGGTAAGCAGGGTCAGCCAAGGAGAATAAACATCTTAATGGAATTCAGGTTTTGGGATATTTTCTGCTAAAATCCCATTCTTGCAGATAAGTTTCTAACAGACACAAGGACACACCAATACGGTGTTTTGATACTCAGGAAACAATGAATTGCTATAGAGTGCACAGATGTTTTTCCTTTAAAGGTGATTTTGAAGCTTTTTCAATTACTTTAGTCTCTCTCTTTACTTAAATTAAAAACTAACTTCAAGGAACTGTTGTCTGGCCTGTGTTTTTACTTTATTTATAACCTTTTGTTTTTCTCCATTCTGTTCCTTCAGGATCCTTTGATATCCGTGTTCTTATCTTTGTAAAAGTTGTGTTTTCTTCTCTCAGCCATTTTAAAGTCTTTTCCTTGCTTGACTTTCCCTTTTTCCTTTCGGCTTATGATTCACAACAACATCCCAATGTGTTCTTTTCAACATTAGTTATTTACCTGCTTTAGAGGCAGGTACAGTCTTAGTCCTGTCAAGGTTTTCAATGCCACTGTTACCTTGACTGTGGGACATGTCATGTATGCGCTGTAGGACATCAGCTAAGTTAAATCACCTGTAATAAGGACTGTGTCCAAAACTTTATCTGTAACACATTAAGAAATACATACTCTGGGTTTTGTTAGTTCCTGCCCTGCCCAAACTCCCAGCAAAGGTCTGATTATCTGAAGCTATGAGTAACTAAATTCTCGCATTTTAATGTTGAATAGAGGGGTGTACCCATTGACTTACAGTAGGGTCACTTTTACCTGAGTATGTTTCTGCAACTTCTGCTTATTGTGGGAGACTAAGGATATGTTTACATGATCACAAGCAATTACATTAGCCTGGTCAGAAAAAATAATTGTAAGTGATAGTTCATATACTCTTTCTCGCTGTAGGTGTACACAGGCTCTCATTGCATGCATTCATTAACACTGTCTATAAACGTAAAAACATTTCATTTTATACAATGGCAAACCTTTGATAAATTGTTTGTTGTTGTATTTCACCATAAAAATACATATTTTTTTTGATGGTCAATATATCATCCAAGACCTTGAGGCTGATTCTTCTCCATTTCATGTTAGCTTTCTAAACATAATGTATCCCTAAAGGTTCATTGTGGGTTTCTCCCCAAGGTAGCCTCCAAAGATCTCCATCAGCTTATCCTAAATTTTCTAGGCTCAAGCTGTTTTTTGTGATCTTAATACTAAAATGACTTTTTTTGCTGTTTTTTTTTTCCCCCCTGAGTTTTGTGACACTGAAAGGAGGCAGATTGCATCTAGAAATACTAACATTTGTAGTCAACAGGTGGAAGAAAACGTTGCTATCCATTTTCTCATTCTTTGAGAATCAAGCTAAGGATTTCACAGCATGTTTCAGTTTAGACTTCTCTTGTGCTTTATACAAAAGCTTAAGCCATATCTAGGTTTCTCTTATCTGATTATATGTTTAGGAGCCTTTTAGACCTGAGTTTGCATGTTTATCCAACACTGCATCATTGTGGCAGCATCAGAATGAAATACAGCATTTGGCAGAGCTATCCTAACAGTCATGATTAGCACAGAGGACAATCACTAGGAATTTGGAATGCAAGGGGTTATTGGTTAGTCATCTCCATTTGGAATGTACATGTAGGCTGTCACTTGAGGACGGGATATTTCTTTTAACTTTCTCTGAGATCTGTAACTCACTGTTAAGTATCAGGCTGCATTTGAACATGTTAGTCCCACTCAACTACAGAATAAAAAACATAAAGATTTTAAAGAGTCTCTAAATAGACACAAGCATGTGCCCATTCTTCCCTGCTGGAAGCCTGATATTTGCTGTATGAAGTTGGATAAGCAGGGGGAAGAATGGCACTGGCTAGTGGATAAAGCAGTAGTTGCGTGCGTCAGATAAAGATTTTACACTCAATTCTGCTGCTAGCCTTTGGTGGATTATAAAGGCATTATTTCCTAGCTATGCCTCAGCTTTCTTTATCTGCAAAATGGAGAAAAACATATCCCTGATATGATTATTCCATGATGATGAACTAGTAGCTTAAGTAGACAGGCAAGTTTGAAAGTCTCTATTAGACAACTGTAGTGTATAAGTTAATGTTATTTAGAATACTTCAGGTACTGAAAGTGCTACCCTTGCCCTTTCCCTCTCCTAAATAAAGTAAAAGGTATGAACTGCTTGCATTTAGCTTTGGGTTTCGTGTTCTCTGAGTCTGAAATTAGTTTAGTGCAGAAGTGTTGAAGCGGCCCATTCTAACAGTAACACCTGATTAAAATACATTCTCGCTTAAAGTCTTTCAAAGTAAAGTACAGTCAGCATCATAAAATTACCTTATTTTCCTCATAAGCACTTCACATTTCCTAGTTTACTTTTCAATTTTTCATTGTTTCTATTTTTCTAAAGCAAAACCCAACTTTTGTCATTCTGTTTGTGTGTAAGTTATAAAGACATTTTCCCCAGATTCTCATGAGTAGCTTAGTTTCTTGCCCCCTGATTTCAGTTATAATTTAAGTATTTTATGTATGTTATGTTTCCTAAAGCAGCAGCATATTTAAAAAAAAATAAATTCCGTGGCATGTTTTCATGTTGTTTGGTGATAAAATCCTAATTAACATTGTACCTTTTCAATTTGCCAGTTGTTCAAGCTTCATGTCGTTTAAGAAGGCACACTATGGAGTGAGCCACTTCTTTTTAAGCAGGGAAGAGCCTTTGTCTTTCAATTCCCGTTTTTTTCTTCTTTGATTTTTCCTTTTTTTTTTAAGTGGAAGTCCATGCATCATGTACATAAATGATTTATTGGACTGGCAAGAAGAAAGAAGGGACTTTTTCTATTACAGCAAATCTGTACTTAGGCCCATGAGTACGGTGTCTGAAAGGTAATTGCCAGGGCTCAACAACTGTTCTGAAGTCAGTTGTTAATGTAGGTGACTAACGATCTCACTTCTGCTTTTTACACTCAAGAAGTTGTCTTTTTTGTATGGACACATCATGTATGTGAGACACATACTTGAGATGTCCTGAATCAGGCTGGGAATACAGAAAAAGTTCCATCACTAGCTGATGGCTGTGTCTTTTCCCCCTATGTGGGGTTTCTCCTCAAGTCGCAACTGATTGTATTAATTACAAGTTATTAATTACTTGACAGTTGGAGTGGTGCTTCTGCCAATCCTAGCACTTTTAGCATAGGCATCCTATCTTTGGCAGAAATGCAAACTGGATAGCCAAAGGCATGATTAGCATAAACCTACTTCTCATCGGTAGATACCTTCCAAAACCTTATTAATAGCTGAGAGCATGCAAAGTATAGAACTGTTTCCTGGTACAAAGTTTTTCAGATCTCTCAGAATTATGACTTCTAGTCTCACCCCTCGCTTTTGACATCATCTTTCTTCATCTCAGTAATGGATCTTTTCAGATTCATAGGAGCATAACAGTTCCTTGGGGTAGTGAAGGGATTCAGTTAACAGTTTCTATCAACTGGCTGCTGTGGAAACCTTTGTGGTTTGATACGTGACTAAGTTCAGGCTTATTGCGGTTAAGCCATATAAATAATGAAGTGAAGAAAAATTTGTGGCCTAGGTCTCTGCTTCGCTGACTTCCATAACGCTACAATTTTTGGCCATAGATGGAGTATTCTTTTTGCATCTGCCAGGGTAAATGTGAACAAAAGCTTATGGTACTAAATTTGGGCTCTCTTAAGACTCCCCAGAGGTTGTACTGTGAGTTGTCTAACACTTGAATGCAGATGTTTTAAAAGTGCTTTTCCTCAGACTCATCTAGTGTATTCTTTTGCTGACTGTTTAATCAAGCCACACTACTAGTGCTTACTTTTCAGCTACAGAAATACAGATTTAGTTGCTTAATATTGGCTGCCATTGTGGAAGTTGGTGGTGCTATATATGTGAACGATTATCAAATCTGGATATTTGACTGTTTCATGCAGGAGTCTTTGTGCTGAAATAACATGGGCAAACAGTTTATCCCACACTATTTATTATTTTGTTGAAATAAATAAGCTGTGGCTAACTGGTAGTGCATGCAGTAGGCATTTGATGTTATTTAGTGCATTAGTGTTTTGAGACTTAAGCTTTGTTTTCACATGTTACTGCAATTCTAGATACTCTCCAGCATGTGAAAGACAGCAAACACATTGTTGTCTATCACAAGGGCCGTTACTTCAAAGTTTGGCTGTACCATGATGGTAGACTGTTGAAACCCCGAGAAATTGAACAGCAGATGCAAAGAATTCTTGATGATAATTCAGAGCCTCAGGCTGGTGAAGAAAAGTTAGCAGCTCTTACTGCAGGAGATAGGTATGGTGGTTTTTATTTTTTAAAATTTATTTTAATGTTTAGAAATAGTTGCATAACATAGTAATTGAATGATGGCTTTGGAATTTTGAAATAGTCTGCAGTCAGCTGATTATACCTTCATCACTGCTTTTTTTCATATTGCTAACATGTAGCAGCTCTTCATTCATTTGTAACTACATGGAGTTAAAAGTAATTTTGCAGTATACAGGATACCTATAGTAATTGGTTTAATTGTGTTTATCATAACAGTAGTAATTGGAAGCTTTACAGTATTACACCTACTGAACTACTTGAGTTTTATCTATTCTGGCGTTCACTGGCATTTAAAAGAATAACTTAAAAATTAAAATTGTGAATTCGGTAACTTACTCTGTATTCATGACTTGCACCAACAAAATAAAGCAGTGTTTGAGTGACAGAGGACTAATTTCTCTTCTAATGCTTAGGAGAACTTTTAGAAGACTCTAGCCTCTGAATTTGTGAAAATATTTACTTTATGGCCAGCTATAGTATGTGGGTTTCAGGGTCTCAGTGTTTCCAAGCCTTGCCAGGTGCAAGGATGAGGAGGAGTGAGACCTGGGCACCTGGCCAACAGGATTATTTCATACCATGAACATCACATTTAATATAAATTAGAAAGTTTGCTGAGGACTTCTCTCTCTCTTGATGGCGGTGGTCCAGATAATTTCTTGCCCAGGTGCTGGACCCCTGAGCCCTTCCCTTCCTCCTGAAGCCACAGTGCTCTCAGTGTCTGACATTTGCTGTCCCCTGCTGGGAGTGCACAGCTCCCTGCTGATAGAATTGGCTGGGTATAATCCTTTTATATTTTGTATTGGTACCAGGATCAATACTGGTTCTTTGGTAGTATTGTTAATTATTTAGTCTTATCCTATTAAATCTATATTTCAACCTTTGTGTTCCCTTGTTCTCCCCGATTCCCCTTCCTGGATGGGTAGGAGTCATCAGGTGATAGAATAATTGTCTAAATGATAATAAATTGTTATGGATTTCTCAAACCATACCAAGTACCATGTACTTGGTTGATTTTAGGTGTAAGATGATTGAGTTCAATTAAATTGTGACAAACTTTGTTTAATCTCTGTAGAGTTGATTCTGGACAAGGGAGAGAAAGAGCTGTGGGCTTTAATATACTTTATTACTAGGACTCTTTCCTTTTACTCACTTTCTGCTTTAAAACAAACAAATACTTTTTCATTGGGAAAATCACATTAATTTTATAAATAAACATGGTGCAACTATACAGAAATTACACTGTTCAGGACTTGTTTAACTTCAGATCTGTTTCAAGCATTTACCATGGACAATTGTTCATGGTTTAGGTGTTACAACAATGGTTATTAATATATGTTGATTATTTTTATTAATATTGCTATTTTCTTCTTCTGTGTGATAGACATTTTCTTTTGTTCAGTTATAAATGTAGATGATCTATACTATATGTATTGCATGCAACAGAAATGTTGAATTTCTGAGGATAAAGTTTCACACGTGTGATGGTATGTTGAATTGATTCCTAGGATCACACTGTACATGTATTTTCAGAATTTTTCACTGCTGATATAGTTTAAATGCAATGAAAGTAGTTCCTTCAAATTTTAAAAAAGTAGGAGAAATATCTCATAGTGATCTTAAGGGTGATAAAACTTTGACAAAGTAATGTAATCTGGCTATAAACCAAATTCTTTTTGCAGAGTACCGTGGGCTAAAGCTCGACAGGCTTATTTTAGCCGTGGAAAGAACAAACAGTCCTTAGATGCTGTTGAAAAAGCAGCATTTTTTGTGACATTGGATGACACCGATCAAGGGTACATGAAAGAAGATCCAGTGAGGTCACTGGATGCATATGCAAAATCCTTAATACATGGCAGATGTTATGACAGGTACTGTGTTGACTCTGGGGAAACGTCTTCTCTTTTAGAATTTTACTAAATCACATGGCTAATAGATATGAATTAATGACTGATAAGATGATAAATTTTATAGAAGCACAGAGTGGTTTGGTTGGAAGGGACCTTCGAAGATCTAGTCTACCACCCTTGCCATTGACAGGGATATCTTTCACTCCGTTGGATTGCTCAAAGCCCCATTCAACCTGACCTTGAACACAACATTTCCAGTGAAGCTACAGCTTCTCTGGGAAACGTGTCCCAGTGTCTCACCAGCCTCATGGTGAAAAAAAAAATAATAAATTCTCCTTTACGACACATCTAAATCTACCCTCTTTCAGTTTATAACTGTAGCCCCTTGTACTGTCACTATGAGCCCTGGTAGAAAGTCTTTTTTGGTCTTATAAGTCCTCTTTATATATTGAAAGGCCACAAGAAAGTGTCCCAGAGCGTTCTCCTCTCTAGACTGAATAACCTCAGCTCTCAGTTTTTCTTCACGTGAGAACTGTTCCAGCCTTCTGACCATTTTCACAGCCCTTATCTGGACCCACTCTAACCGGTCCATGTCTGTCTTATACTGGGGAACCCCAGAGCTGGGTGCAATACTCCAGGTGGAGTCTCATAAGAGCAGAGTAGAGGGCAAGAATCTCTTCCCCTCGACCTGCCAGCCATGCTGCTTCTTAGGTAGCCCAGGACATGATTGGATTTCTGGGTTGCAGCCACACGTTGCTGGCTGATGTCCAGTTTTTCATCCACCAATACCCCAAGTACTTCTCTGCAGGGCTGTTCAGTCCATTCAACCCCCAATCTATTCATACTGGGGATTGCCCTGACTTAAGTACAGGATCTTGCACTTGGCCTTGTTGAACTTAATGAGGTTCAAATTTAAATCTATTTATTTAAATAAACTATTATTAAAAAAAAAAGGCCAAGAACTAGCGCATTTGAATGTGATTCTTTTGAGAAAGATGAAGTTACAATGTAAAAATGCTTTTGAAATGTACAGAGCTATAAAGAAACCTTAATTTCATTTGTAGGTGGTTTGATAAAACCTTCACTCTTATAATATTCAAAAATGGCAGAATGGGTCTGAACGCAGAGCACTCTTGGGCAGACGCTCCTATTGTTGGACACTTGTGGGAGGTAGGTATTTAGAACAAAAAGTTAATGCAGAAGATAATGTGATACGGTCCATGCAACAGTCCTGAAGATCAGCAGTTACTTTCAGGCATTCATATTGCTGATGAGTGATTATGAGCCAGTGTCTACAACAACTGTAGAATTAAAAAAAAAAACCAAACACAAAAACCCCACAACTAAAACACCTTGCTTAAAAGAAAACATTGCTGTTCCTTTATATTAAATGTCTTTATTAGATTTTAATGAGCCTCAATGTCTTCATAGAAAAATGATACGGCTCCCCATATAACTTCTTTATAATATTCTAAATCAATAGATTGTTACTTCTTTGATAAGGTATTGTATTTTGCGTATATACACGCTCCTGAAGCATTTAAGCTTTCTTGTGCTATAAAAATCTTTGAAAAAACTTCGAGAATACACTTCAAGAACATAAAGAAATGGTAGAGTTTAACTTTTCCTCTAAGTCATTGTTTGATGAGCTGCAGATTGATATGCTGTCTAAATTCTCTCTTGTATTTATTTGCAATAAATGGAATAAACTTTTTGTCAGGTTTGTTCATCATGAACTTAGTTTATTACTTGAAATCCTGTTTGATTTTTTTTTTTCTTGTTGAAGCTTAAACCCATGAACAGTTACACGACTCAATCACTCAAAACTATTTCAGAAACCTAAACTAATTCTGATTTATTATGTATTTGTGCAAATGGGTCTCAGGTCTGACTGGTACCCCAAGTAATTTCTTAATTTTATTATATGAACGTTTCCCTGTCTGTAAGAACAAAAAATCCTCATTGCCTTCTCTAACCAGGGAAGAAAGAAGGCCAAACTGATTTGAGATTGACTTGACAATGCTGTTTAGACTAGCTTAATGGAAAAGAGTTACTTTGTTTCTTTTAATGAATAATGTTATATACTTTAGTTCATGTCTCTTTACTTATTATTAGTTGGTTCATTTTCTGGTAAGAATTGATATGACTAAAATAAACGAGGTAGTTAATAGTTTCATTTCCTAAAATGTTATCTGTTGTTAGTTCTTCATAGACTGTCTATGTTTAGAATAGAATGGATTAAATTTTCTTTCATAGTTGGCATGTTCTGACCACTAGTGAGAAAACTAAAGTAAAAGAAGAGATTAGAAATATATATGTAGAAAAATGCAATAGTTTTTTGTCAAGCTTGTTCTTTCCATATTGAGCAGATTCAAATAGTTTGATCATTCTGTATTTTCTAAGTTTTGTTGTTGTTGAGTATGTTGTTTGAAATCTTGTAAGACAGAGCCTTTTTTGTCTGTTGTTCGAGTAGTATTGTTCATCTTGGAAACATTCGGCTTCCCCACCCAAGAGCTCTAGTGCACATATAAAATAAACTGCAATTTTGAGTGTGATGCAAATCTTAAAAATTATTAAATTCTTGCAGGGACATACACTTACTCTGAAATAAACTGTTTCTTGATGAAGAAGGTTTGACAGATAACAAACTTGCAGAAATTTTCTAGAATCTAAATTGAACTAAGGTTGTGAAATCTAAGACTCTAAGACCGACTTTTTTTTAACGACTAATAAGTTTGAGGTAGGTTTTTAACTGAAACGTTTTGATTAATTCAGTAGCATCTGACAAAATGCTACTATTCAGCTGCCAGTGTGACTGAATAGGTGTTTGTGCACATCTGTTATTCTTCACGCTCAGAACACAAATAAAAATGCCTTAGAATGAGAAGTAAAACAGAGGGCTTCATTTGCAACTGTTTTCAGTATTTGGAACCGGATTGTATATTGTATTTCACTATGTACTGAAAATGGGTTATATTGATTTCACTATGAAATCCTAATTCCATGTTGAATGTGTTGCAATTCTGAAGAAGTATTGTTCTTTGCAGAATGTGATGGCAACTGACTATCTTGAACTGGGCTATTCAGAAGATGGGCATTGCAAAGGAGATACCAATCCAAATATTCCTATTCCTACCAAACTGCAGTGGGAAATTCCAGAAGAAGTAAGTACAGAACAGCTAGTGGTTTGAGGAAGAAGCTCCTATTTTCCTGAGCAGTCAAATCATTTAAATATTTACTGATAACCCTATAAATCATTTATAAAACTATAAGTTCGTTTGATGTGTAGGATGTGTATTTCATGTGTGGATATTACTCAGTTTACTTAAAAAGATATCACCTGTTTTTAACATCACTCTCCTGGCTGGAAAATGCCAGCTTTTTACTCGAGACTTTCTTGGTTGTCAAAACATGTCAAAAATAAGTGGCTGCCTATTTTAAATAGAAACTAAAATGAAGACTACAAAACAGATGTTACTGTGTAATAGTCTTTTTTTGTATTCAAAATTCCATATACATGTCTAATAAGGTTTGATTTTTACATTTTATTTTTTTTCCCCCTGAGTTCAAGAAAAACTTCCATCCCCTATTTGGATTTTAATTTTGCATAAAAAGGTAATGGCTGTTGTTATGTTTAATTAAGCTTGTATGGCAGATTGGAAGCCACAAAACTTGCCATTCTCTGTGGGTTGTTCTTTTATGTTCTAGTGATCTGAACAGTCTTAATGCTGGTGGGTTTTTTTAAAGTGTAATTTTTTGGACTCCAGATGTATATTGGCTTAAAACTTGGTTTTTTATTAGCTTTTTGAATTTTAACTTTCTGGCAAAGGTAGCTTCTCCTCTTTCTCCAAAAGCAGATTATTTAAATAATGATGTTCCTGGTGTGCCTAAAGGCAGCACTACTTATTCATCAATTAAAAATACTTGCACTTTTTCAACAGTTCTCTCAAATGCCACCAACTGCATGCATAGGCATATATGCGCATATAGATATTTGTTTGTTTGTTTTTTGATTATTTTTTTATTTTAGTGTCAAGAAGTGATTGAGAAGTCTCTGAGCACTGCCGTAGCTCTGGCAGATGATGTGGACTTCAATTCATTTTACTTCGGTGCTTTTGGGAAGGGACAAATAAAAAAAGCAAAAACCAGCCCTGATGCCTTTGTGCAACTTGCCCTGCAGCTTGCTCACTATCGGGTAAGAGCAGACTGTTTCTGGCTTATAGATTCTCATTAAATTGGGTATAGCGTGGTTGTGCTTAAAACATGTGACTGTGTGAAGTACTGAAGAGTAATCTTGCTCTGATTGTGCAAGGTTATTAAAGACATTAAATGTAAATTGGTAGAAACTCTAAACAGATTATTGACTGGAAATGAACTGTCCAAAGGTTGGTGTATTGATACTCATGCAAATTTTTCTCTTCTGCTTAGTTGGTCTATCCCTAGGCATTTTTGGACTTGAGGTTTGAAACCTCTAGTAGCTGTGTTTATAATTGGAACAATGTTATACTCGCAACAATTGGATTAACAGAAATTCCTGCCTGTTTTTTCTCCTGTTAACTCGCTGTTTCTATAGCGTGCTTTCAGAAAACCGCAGTGTAGCAACATGCTTGTTTTTCATTTTGCTTTCTAGTTGTAGCCATTGAGATACTGTTCTATTTTTCCTTTTTTCTCTTTTTTTTTTTTTTTTAAAAGCACTGAGATTTCCTGGCTGCTATCAGCAGTCTTTCTTACCCTTGGTTAGGGTAGCTACATTGGAAATAGTTTGATTACCTACCCACCTCTTCTACTTTGAACACCCATCCTCTTAATCTAAAACTGATCAGAGTTTCACAATCTGTTCTGATGTATATTTTAGACAGGTAGAGTTGCTAACTTCTATTGTTTGGCAATTTTTAATCTGTAGATTGTGCACATCTACAGGAAATGTGGAAGCCACGCTTCCTGAATTTTGCAGACTGCTCAGTTCTCACATTCTTGAAATATCCCCATTGTTATCTGTCTCCATGTTGTTACAATTTAACTAAAAATATTTTTAAGGATGTTACAGTTGTCTTGATTACTTACCACAGTTGTGTTAATTAGGAAGCCACTGAACTTTCAAATATGTGTTTGATAGCCTCTCAGCTTCTGTTGTAAACTGAAAAAGACTGAATATAAAATACAGAGGGTATTCCTTGCTAGTTTAGTTGTTCTATTAGCATTTATCAAATCCTGCTACTAATTTAATTTTTGCCTTTATTATCTTTAGGTAAGACTGCCAATGGTGGGCCACTAAAAACTTAACATTGAGTTTAATTTGTGGCGTGATTACTTGTGCTTAACCTTGAACTGCTAATTAAGAGGAGCTAAGCCTGGCTAAACTTTTCGGTTCTTCTTTCTCCCTTTTCAAGGACATGGGAAAATTTTCTTTAACATATGAAGCCTCTATGACACGCTTGTTCAGAGAAGGCAGGACCGAAACTGTTCGTTCGTGCACTGTTGAATCATGTAATTTTGTTCGAAGCATGGAAGACCCAACTGAAAGTGTAAGTTCACGGTGGTGTTGCCATAGACAATCCATAAGGCACATGAATTATCACTAATATCCGTATAAGTTCCAAAATAGTTTTTAAGCACTTAAAGTGATGCCTTTGTTTTTTAGGAAGGAAGTGCAACATAAGGTAATCATCAATATTTTCTGTCAATTGGCAGAAATTCAAGTCTATACCAAAACAGAATGTCAGTAACTTAGCCAAATATGTGATTTCTTACAGTTCTTGAACTCCAGAACACTGAGATGTCTCATGAAAATGTAGTGAATTGTAAAACTCAAACATAAATTGGTAAAATAAGTAATCTGATACTACTTAGGCTTTCCTTTCTGATAGGGAAGCAAGTAGTATTAACAGGAAATAAGTAGTTGCCCATATAATACGTTGATTTCAGTGGGCCTTTTAGTCTTTGTTGTGATGTTCCAATTAGCAAATAAAGAAAGCATGATCTGGTGGAAAGCTTCTTGGTTTGGAAAGCTTGTACAATACTGGCTAAATATTTGCTGTCAAAATGAAAGGGTGGACGATGGGCATCTTGAGGCCTGTCCTTTTATCCACGGCAAGTCACAGTTTTCATAGATACAGTTCATGAAATAATAATTACATTTGCAGGTTTTGCTAAGCTGAAAATGTCCAGTTCTTCAGAGTCAATAAAAATTTGACCTGAAAAAGAAGATTTTGTTAAATAGGAATGTACTCAAGGTATTGCATCCAGGCCTCAGTAACAGCTGCATGGGTGGAAGTTCTAATGAAAAGGATCTAGGACTATAATAATCAGTAACTGAACACTGACACAACACGTTCAATGCTGTGCCATGGGGAAAAATGGAGCCTTCACTTTAGTTAGCTTGCCCTTTATTTTATTAGTCTTTTGTCTCTGCACTTCTTTTCTAGTACAGCATTACCTAGGGTGGTGTGGCAGTTTTGGACACTGTACTTGAGGTATGAATGGATTGGAGAGAGTCTAAAGGAGAGCAAATGGTTAGAAGAGAGCATAGCTAGAAACCTCTGAAGGGGATCTGAGAGGAGAGGTTGAACTTAATTATTCTTGCCTAATCTGAAGAAGAAATAACACTGTGGAAGAGGTAGGGAGCCAAGTTGTGCTCAAGGGGATAAAAACATTGATGCAGAGATGATGGGAACAGTCTCTTCTCAGTCCCAAGAAGTAACGGACTTAAATTTCAGAAAGAAATAAGAGGGAAACATTTTCTGCTCATAAAAATAATGAGTAAGGAGGGAAATAGTGAGAAGCCTGAAACAGATTACTTGGGGAGGTTGTTTTTCACTTTGAAAATTTTTAAGAGTAAGTTACGTAAGGGTCTTTCAGGATAGAGTGTTAGTTGATCAAATCTTAGGGCAGAGAAGTCTAAGCAGGTGAACAGTTGAGATTTTTGCTAGCCCTATGATTCTATGAATCTGCAGAAAAATGCACAGAGCGAAAAAAATTTCTCCCTCCTCTCTCCGGAAGTTCTATGTAGGTAAAATTCCCCTGGATTTCTCAATATGCTGTGCTGGGAGCTGTGATCAGATCAGGGCAACTCTGGAAATCCAGCCGTGTTGACTTGTCATATGTTAACTGTGTGGCACAGCCACTGCACAACTACCCTGTGTATAGAAAGTAATTTTGACGTAGTCCTAATGTCAGAAATAACTGCTGTTACCTCTATGCAGTTAACATCTGCATTTTTTTTAAAGGAATAAGGCAGACCCATACATGGAAAGATCACATATATAGCAGAATTCATTCTGCCCACTTTTTGTGGGTGATTTTCTTTTTTTATATGGTTACTACAAACATGATGCTTTTTCAGACCTGTTGATTCATTACTGTCCTTCATCTGGAATGAACAGCCATAGAGCAGAGGAATCCTGCCTTCATAATGCAGTTTTTGTGTGTTATGAAGATTATATTATATGCATTTATATATTATTTTTAAAAGAGTTGCTTGCCTTTAATGCCTGCTTCTACTTTTTTCTGGGTTTTCCCTTAGAATTTTTCCTGAGCATTTGTACCCTCTATTGACTATCCACAGATCTTTACTTCTGAATGCTAATGGTAGGCATGCTTAGCATGACTACAAGTGATTTATTAGTTTCTCTTGTTGGAGGCAAATAGGCTGCTCACTATGTCCCAAATAAGCGCTGTAAAATAGAGTGATGCTAAAGATATGAAGTGTCCTGGCTTGAGGACATAAAAAGTGACAGGTTGCTGTATACTGTGTTGCATTCCACACTACATAATTTTAACAGAATAGCCATTTAAGTGTTCTGAACACACACTTCAGCCCTTGCAACATTCATACAGTGTTTGTAGAATCCTTGAATATCTGAAGTTGGAAGGGATCCATAATGATCATTGGGTTCAACTCCCTGCAGGACTACCTAAACTGTATGACTAAGAGCATCATCCAGACAATCCTTGAAATCTTACAGGCTTCTTGCCCTGTCCACTTCCCTGGGGTGCCTATTCAAATGACTGACCATCCTCTTAGTGAGGAACTTTTTCCTAATGCCCAATCTGAACTTCCCCTGACACAGCTTTGTTCCTTTTCCTTGTGTCCTGTCACTGATCACCAGAGAGAGATCAGCACCTCCACCTCTGCTGCTCCTCTTGAGAAAGTTGCAGACTGTGATGAGGTCAGCCTTCTCTAAGCTGAACAAGCCCAGTGACCTCAGCTGCTCCTCTTAAGTCTTGCCCTCAGGACCTTTCACTGTCTTGGTTGCTCTCCTCTGGACACACTCCAATGTCCTCGACCTCAGCTGCTCCTCTTAAGTCTTGTCCTCAGGACCTTTCACTGTCTTGGTTGCTCTCCTCTGGACACACTCCAATGTCCTCCTTATATTGAGGCACCCAAAACTGCACACAGTACTTGAGGTGGGCTCGCTCCAGTGCAGTGTAGAGTGGGACATTCGGCTCCCTTCACAGGCTAGCAATGCTGTGCTTGATGAACTCCAGAACGTGGTTGGCCCTTTTGTGTGCGAGGGCACACTGTTGACACACATTCACATTGCCATTGACACTAACTCTGTAGCTTTTTAAGACCAGTTTCTCTAGAAACTAAATATACAATGTAGTAAACTTGAATTGTGATTATGTTTGATTCTGGGGTTAGGTCACACTTAAAATACAATTTGTTTTCATTATGCACCATTTACAGCAGGTAATATTTGATACTTGCTGATACCTGAAATTGTATACATGAGGTTGAAAAGACAGAGGGTATACTGGTATTTGGTGTTAGTTGCATGCATTGTCTTGTACTTGACCCTCAAGTCCTCTAGGCTTGAGAGCCATTGCTGTAACTTATTTTCTGCACCTTCATCCTCTACCCAGTTTACTTCAATGATTTGTCTTCATCTGTTTTATTTTTTTTCATTGTTAGAATGAAAATAAGCTTAAGTTCTTTCGGGTTGCTGCTGCCAAACATCAGCACTTGTATCGTCTCGCCATGACTGGTGCTGGCATTGACCGCCATCTGTTTTGCCTTTACGTCGTGTCCAAGTACCTTGCTGTAGATTCTCCTTTCCTTAAGGAAGTAAGTGACTCTTATTGATAACTACTAACTACAGTAAATAATCCTTTGTTTACTTAGTGTTTTGTGGTATCTGCTTACATGTTTGCAGAACTGTGGTTTTCCTAAGAAAAAAAGGTAAAGAGTTTAGCTAGCATTGCTTAACATCTGCTGGTAGATTACAAGTTAGTTTCATTTTCCTTTATGTATACGCTTACTAGTAGACCTATAGTAATGCTTTCTGTGTACTTTGTCCTATAATACAGATTACTAAGGATTGCAAGAGAGATCTAGTCAGTATTACAAAGAAAACGTATTGGCTGCTTGGGGTTTTTATGTATTTTCAAAGCAGCACAAGAGAGGCTGTGTGTTTTCTCTCAGGAATGTTCTTTTGGAACTGTGACAAAATCACTTTCTCTGAAGTTACTGTGAGTTAAAGGAGCTGCGTATTGTGATTATTTTTTTTAACACACAATTTTAATGTCACTATAACTCTGACAAATGCTTTATTGCTTAAACTGAATTTTAAATTTGGGTTTTATAAAACTAATTACATTGCACTTATTCATGTTTTCTGATTAATAAAAAATGTGTTCAGGCTTGCCTCCAAATTAAGCTATTCACATTTGTCTGCTTGCCCTCCTAAATGTGAGCAGTGGCTAGGTCAAGAATAAAACAACTTTTTACAGCTTCTGCAGACTTTCAAGATTCATGTGTATTGTTAGATATTTTACAAGCTTCTAACTTGGTGTAGTATCTTACCAGGATTTCACAGAATCTTCTTCATGGTTGGAAGGGACTTTTGAGATTGAGTCCAACCATTTCAATAAGGCCATTTATTATCTTGTTGTTAACATCAGCTCTTATGCATAATTTACAGACTGTAGCATTTCTATTGAAAGAACTTACTTTCTCTTTGAGGAATTGACATCATTATCTTGTATGTTAATGGTTTGCACATCAGGCCATGTTCATCTGTTTCTTTTAACCTTCATAATTGTTCATTCAATCAAAATGGGAACTGAAGTTATCCTTATTATTGCTTTATTGAGTGCTTTCTAACTTGACTAGTTTTTGAGAAAGTTGCATGTTCTTACATAGTATTTTATACCTGTTTGCATCTCTTTCATATCTAAAAAAGGTTTTGTCAGAGCCTTGGAGGCTGTCAACGAGTCAGACACCGCAGCAATATGTTGACCTGAAGAAGAACCCTGAGATGTTATCCTGTGGTGGAGGATTTGGACCAGTATGTTTGCTAAATAAAAGTAGCCTTTTGAAACCAGTTTTATTTTGAATATGCCAATTGAAAATTTTCAGATCTGTAATGCCTTAATATTGCACATCAAAGGTGCAACGCGTGCTTTTAAATGCTTGTGTTTAATGCTTTTCCATGATGTAGATGTGCTCAGAAAAATCTGCATCGCCTTTTTCTCATATCCCAATGCAAGAATGGATTATTCTTAAGGAAATACACAGTTATCAAATGTGGTACAGGGCTCCAATGCAGAGAGATCTGATAAAGTGGGGGCTTTTATCACATTGGCTGTGCTTAGAGCTTCTGTGCATCAGGCTATTATTATAGTGACAAATGCCTTATTACTTAAAGTAGATTTTAAGGTTGGGATTTGTAAAAGTCATTATACTTGACTTGTTCTTTATATTTCCTGATTAATTAAAAGATGCTTTCCTCCAAAGTAAGCTACTCACATTGTTCTGCTTGCCTGTCTAAGTGTGAATACTGGCTAAGTCAAGAACGAAACTGCGTTCTACAGCTTCTGTAGACTTTCAAGAAACTAGTGTATTTTTAGAGATTTTATAAGCTTCTGACTTGCTGTAGTCTTTTACCGGGATTTGGACATCGATGATGATATCGTAGTTAACAAGATCTTTTAAGCAGACTTTATGGAGCTATGGACTAGATTAATCTATTTTGAAAAAACATTTCTATTGGAATAACAATGAGAGGGATCACAGGACTGCTCTTTGCCACACAGGAATTTTGATGACAAGTATAATTTTGGCTGGTTTGTCAAGCTGGAAGTTGTTTTTTGTGTGGGTTTTTTATTTTTTTTAAATTTATTTATTCATGTTTCTCATACACCTTTCAGTAGTTCTTGAAGTTGGAATGAGTTTAAATTGCAGTATCAAGGAAGCCTATAGCTATTGCAGCGCTGCTCATTCGTGAGAAACTGGCTTGCTCCGGCAGATTATAAAGTCAGTATTTAGAATCCCAAAAAAAGGGGTGATTTTGCAATACGGCTTTTGATGCAGGAATTTCTAACGCTTTTTTCCCTTTTCGCTAATGCTACATTACCTGCTCCATTACTATTTTTTCAGGCCTTTATTTCCTTCCTTCAGTTGTCTGCCTTTCCAAATAACCTTCCTTACATTTCCCTTCATAATTTCTTGGATCTTCAGAAAAGCTGTGCTTTAGTTTGCTGAAGTAGCCCAGAGATTCAGTACATACACACATTCTGTGTGTATGTGTTATTTGTTGGTTTTGTTTGAGGTTTTTAAGCATGAATGGAGAGAAGGCTATCAGGCTGCTTAGCAGCAGGCAGCAAAGAGTTGGGATCCTTTGAGTTGGGAAAGAGAGGAAGGAGGGTGGCAGCAAGATATGCCTAGTGAACACAGACTGCCTTAAATATAACATCAGACTGAAACTTGGGACAGTTAATGCTGGTAATGTTGAAATCAGACCAGAGCTCTGTTCATGATGCAGGTGTTCAGAATTTGCTGTAGAGTTGGATGACTGCCTTTGGACAAGCTTTCATAATACAAGTCTTGTATACTTCATATTTATATACTAAGTTTGTTTAGATCTGCAGTGATCCCATGAAATAGGATGTTTAGGTATACAGTTGAACTATTTTATTCCTTTCTGCTCAAGCACTTTCAACTGAAGCTGTATAGCTGCTTAAGGCCAGATCTTCACAGGAGATGGTCTTTGAACAAGTATTCTATTTCAAAATACAAAAGCTGGGAAATATTACAGACATATATTCAGAAAATATTAATTCCATGCACTACAGATGAAATCAGAACTGTTTTCTTAAGTGGAATCTTCAGAAATGATGTATTAAATGTGGAACCTTAATTTTTCCTTGAGGAGAAATTGCAACTGATTTTAAGAACTGCACAGTAATTATATATAAGATAATTTAGGAATGGAAGGAAAAATAAAAAGTTTAGAACTTATTTTTCCTCTTTTTTTCTTCCCCTAGGTGGCTGATGATGGTTATGGTGTTTCTTATATTATCTTGGGTGAAAATGCCATCCATTTCCATGTCTCCAGCAAAATATCTTGTTCTGAGACGGTAAGAGTTTGTCCTTTCCTATGGCTTAATAAATCTTCTCTGATATCTGCATATAACACTGATCTACCCATTGTCTAAAAAGTGTAGTAGAACTTGCAATGTACAGTTATAATGTGTTTTTTCTTTCTCAACATATGCTTTTTTGGTTTTGATTTGGTGTTTTTTTTGTCTCCATTTCTATAAATTGAATTGCTTTTTGAACCAAGGAAGCCATACTCTTATTTCATTTATTCTTTCAAGCATAAAGAAAGCATGTGGCCCAAGGTCATCTTTACACTTGTGTAGTTCCCTGGAACTCTCTTAAAATGACTCATACCGGTCCCATAAGCAGTAAGAGGGGCATCTCCCATTTTTTGTTACAGTTTTGCTTTGATTTGTCTCTGACTGCAGTTGTGAAGACAGGGCAAAATGTATGCTCCCTATTATTTAAATCTTCTTAGTTTAAATAATACTGAATGAAGCTGGCCCATAAGTTGTAATCTGTGTTTAAGAAACATAATTAATCAAAACCTTTTTAAAATAACACCGGTTATTAGAATGTAGTAGATGTCATCAATTCAGTATCTTGCTGTTGTGTATGCCTGCTTTGAGTGAGCTTCAATTCATCCTTTCCCTTTAGATTTTTATGACTTAATAAGCATGCTCAATTTGTTCAGGATTACATAGCTGAACTAGTTTTCCTCTCTTGACCTTAACTTGTCCGAGAGATCTTGGTGCCTTTGGTTAATCATTAAAGATTAGGAAATAAAACTGCTTTTTCATAGTTCAACTTGTTCTTCAGATGCCTGTTAACTTGTACTTTAAATTTCCCTGTATTTTTTTACTTATTAGTCAAGTCAAATGTCCGTACAGAAAAGGCAGCATTTCTTGTTATTAGTAGGGTATTTGTAGTAGGTCCTGTAATGGAGCTAATAATTTATATTTTTAATCTAAATTTCTACCGTGTACCACTCATCTGATGTTTAGGACAAACTATGAACTTGTTCTGTTTATTTACACTTAGAATTGTGATTTTCATTTTCAATACTTTCTGTAATTTTTCAATGGCAAAAGATTCATTATTCTGATAGGAACTCAGATATGAAATGCTTTTCTGCTTTTTGAGTACTTCTAAGTCATTAGTAATGCACTTGCTGAATGTTCTTTTGTTTTCTGAAAATTAGCTTTTCCAAGATCTCATTAAAAAAAAAAAAGTACCAAACCTCACCTATTTTAAAGTGGCAGAATGCTATAGATGAATCTGATTTCAAAGTGAAATGATCTTAGTTCTGTGTGTAGGAAAGTAAATGCATAATGAAAAACTCAATGGTCAGTAATAGCATAAACCTGGATTAATTTGTATGGCATTAAAATTTTTGTGGTTTGAATTCCCCATTTTATGGTAAAATGCATGCTTTAATTCTGTAAGCTCCAAAATTACAAAATGTTAATAGGTTCCTTCTTTTGACTAAAAGATAACTGTTGATTGACAGCACAAGTTTTTGTTTTTCTTCTCTTTCCATGTTTGTTTTTGAAGGATTCTCATCGTTTTGGAAGAAACATCCAAAAAGCAATGGTTGACATCATGGGTTTATTTAACCATAGTAAAAACTGTACCAAGTGATTTGCCTTATTGGTGCCAAGGAATCTCCTGTTGTTGGGATGAGAACTCTTCTGAACAATGAATGAGAGCAAGGTTTGCAAACAGTAGTTGGCGAAGAAACTGAGTCAACATCATCTTGATCACTATGAAAACCTTAGCAGTGTATTGAATGTTTCATTATTATTTTTTTTTCAGTAGTTTGGAAGAGTTTATTTCCACAAAGTATGACTTTTGAAATCTTTTATGTTTCTACAGATGAAGTGTAGTATCATTGCATGAAGTCATGTATATTCTAACTCCTGCAGTTTTCTCTTAATTTGTATACACTTGCTCTTTTTCTACTTAAAATTAGTCTACTTGTATTCCAGAATCAAAGGGATAAAACACACCGTCTTAAACTCAAATACTAGAAAAAGTTTGATTTGCTATGTATTAATAGCAGAATGTTCTTCAATGTATTTGCTGCTTTATGTCAATGAATGACAAAACTTGTGGCTGTTTACCTTCATTGGTTTTTTCGTTAGTGGTTTTTTTTTTTCAAAGGTAATTTCAAAACATACCAAAAAAAACCACCCCTCATATAACCCACTGTAACATACCAAGTTGTAGAATTTTTTTTGTTTTTTGGAAAAAAACCACTGGGTAGGGCTACATCAGGTAGTGAAATGTGTCACATTTTTCTTCTTACAAGCACGTTTGCCACATCATTGATTTTATTTCTGTATAAATAAATGGACCTGTGTGCTTGTTCATGCGAGTGCCTTAGAAAAGGAAGATTCTAAACCCAGGAAAAAAAAGCTTATGCTGGGAGTTGTTTTTACATTGTCTTAGTGGTGAAAGCGGTGAAGTATTAGTAATACAGATCTAGTTTTCAAACTGTAAGTTAGGCTCATGTGGCCTAAGTAGACCTGAGTATGTTGCCACGTGCAGTTAGGTTTAAAGCTCTAATGAAATGCTCCCATCTTAAATGGCGAAGATCAGTCCCGATGAAATGCAGCACTAACTTTGTTTCAAACCTACAAATACTCATGTGTTTATTTTGGTGAATAGTATTGGTGGTCATTTGAGATAAGAGTTTCTGGGTCCCGGGGAACGTGAATTCAGTTAAATGCAACCTGTTGGATAGTCTGTGAAGCAAGGCTGCTTTGTAAAGGCTGATCAGTTGCAGTTTGCCTGCTTTCAGCCTGGAAGGACCGACTACTACAAACATCTGCATGAGAAGGTCAGTCTGTTAAAGCTGTGGAAAATAACTGCAGAATGGGAAAATCCTGGCCTTCTCAAATCCCTCCTGGGAGACGCTTTTGGTCAAGCGCAGTTTCAGAAGGTTACAAGGAGGAAGGGGAAAGCTATTGCACTCGAAATAGAGCATAATGTTTCCAAGTGCAAAATAAAATGGCTACTACAAAATGGGGTAACTTTGTGTGCAACGCTCCGTTCCCCAGGCTCTACAGGTGTGGTCACGGTTTACATCCTGCAATGCAGTAAAGTGTACCTGTCAGCGCAACAATTTATTATTTTATATTTTTTAAATGTAAGGTACATGGTGTTTAGTAATATAGTGAATGCTGCTTCAGAGCTATGCTGATTTTTTTTAAAGGGCCTTTGGGTGTTGATACAAAACTTCTCATTAGACTTCGAATGTTTTCTGGCCAGTATTGCTAACTTTCTATGCCTCTTCATGTTTTGTTTTGGGTTTTTTTTTCTACTCTAGCTATATTAAAACACCTGCATATGTATGTTTGAGGTGGGAAACCTCCAAGATCTCAGATGCATACTTAAGCAAATGCACACTTACATAAATGTAGGAACCATCACAAGAATTGGCCAAAGACACTCATTATTGGATTAGGTTCAGGGTGTGGGAAAGGACACTTTGAAATAAGCCTTATTGCAGCTGGGAGGCCTGGCATTTATCAAACTACTGCAACAATTTTATAGTGATCGATTCTTTTGGAGCTGCAGAAATAATGCACTGTTTTTGTGGTTGGTTTTTTTTTTTTATTGTCCACTGACAAATCTGTGCTTAAATTAACATTAGGGTATATTAGCTTGTAGGATTTTCTTTAAAAAAAAAAGTTTAGATTTGACACTCAGGTTTTAGATGTTTCAAGTCTAATTGTAGTTAGTGCAGTTATCAATGCAATTTTGCATTCTTGGAGAGTAAGTATAATTGGCACAGAAAGCTGGGGTTTTTTATTGTCAATGTTTTAAACATTTTATGGTGTTAAATGTGTCTTTTAATTTGGGATATGTCATAATTCCTAAACAGATAAGATTTTATTTCATTTTCTTTAAAATGTCAACAGCATGTAAATAAAATATGCTTTTTGGATGTAAATCTTAGAAATCCACAGTGAATGTAGGTTATTAATAAATAATTAATTTAAATCTCGGTGTTTAATATTGTGTACATGCAGTAAAGCTGCTTGCTTTTTGCTCAGAAGCCATAGGAATGTAACTGAAATTACCTAGATTTGAATGAACTTTCTAGTACAGTGTACTTATAATAGTAAAATGTTCATGTTCCAGGAAAACAATCAATTTGCTACTAAAATCTTGAATCACTTATTCTCAATTAGTGATTTAAGAGCTCAAAGTTAGGGTTGAGTAGGTAGTAAAAATCAGGTTGGATGATAATAAATTGACCTGTTTAATAAACAGCAATGTGGAATTGGTGGAATACCTTGACACTGTGTGGTTCCAAAATTTCTTATTTCATCCCAGAAATTGAGACAGCATTAAGTGCATTTAGAGGCTACCATTGTTGAGGATTGACACCGTTCCAAACTAAATATTCCTTTTAGGGTTGGGTTTTTTTTGAGGGACTAAGGAAGTGTGTGCCTGACCTTGAAAATCGTAGTTCTAATTCAGCCTTTGTACCAATTGTTTTCTCATATAAAATATATTAATTTAAGCTAGTTTTTTTAATGTTGTTCAATTACTCTACATCTATGGTTGGTTATTTACATCCAACACTTTGTCTCGATTTTCTACCATCTTCTGTGACTTTAAAAAATAAAATTTCACAATTACCACCCACCACTTAGTACAATGTTTAATATCTTCTGTTTCTTCTTCCTAGCTCCCTTGCTGCTGTTTCTGGACTTGTGAATTTGTTGTTATTAAATCCAGTTAAGAACGATAGTAGCAGTTTATTTTAGCAGTGACTTACACGTCTTGCTAGTTAATAGGGAATGTGTTAATGAACAATTTTTCAGCTTCAGAAGAAAGAAAAACCAATCTAGGTCTGTCTTGATGAGTTTTTTTCATGAGATGCAAATAACTGCTGAAATGTTCCTGTGAAACAGTCTGTCTGCCCTGGTTTGATCTTCACAGTGAATAATCCACAGAATGTGAATGCCCAAAGGCAGTGGAGAACTAGTTTGGGCAAACCTAGGGCCAGTAGGATGAAGATTTGTAACCAAAAGCATATGGAAAAATTGATTCCAGTTTCTTCTTGGATTAATTGTATGGCACCATAGCTTGAAACTTTTGGGGATGTTTTTATAGTTGCTGTGGGGGTTATTTAACACACAAAATTTCCTACAGATTGAGACATTAATAAATACAATTAAAAGTTCAGGTTCAGTTTCTGCTTTCAAAGAAGCATAGGAAGTGACCTGGTAAGTTTGGACTGTTTTCTAAACTCTGCAATCTTTGTGGCACCAGGGTGTCAATTCCAAGATGTACCAAGCGAGTTGTAGGAAGGGCCCTAAGAGCAAATCTGGAAGCCAGCTATTTCACAGAATGGTTGAGATTAGAAGGGACCTCTGGAGGTCACCTGGGCAATCTCTGCCAGTGCTTAGTCACCCATACCGTGAAAAAGTGTTTGGAGTCTCCCCTCCGAACATCAGGAGTGTTTCAGCTTGTGCCTGTTGCCTTTCGACCTGTCACTGGGCACTGTGGAAAAGAGTCTGGCTCTGTCTTCTTTGCACTTCTGCTTTGTATCTCCTGGCTGAATGGTCCCTGCTCTCTCACGGAGAGCTGCTCCAGGCCTTTAGTCATCTCCGTGGCCCTTTGAGAAGTCTCTTGGAACAGGACACAGAGCTGTGGCAGTGCTCTTCTACCCGGGTTATAATAAATAACCTCTTAGTGGCTACCTGGGTCCTGGTTAATCTTTGACTCCTTGTCATGCGAGGTAATTTCCAAGGGAACAAAAACCCATCACCCCAGACGCCCGGCCTAAGGGTGCGTGCGCTCGCTGCTGCCCGCGAGGGGTGGGGGGGGCGCTCTGGCCGCTAACGGCCCGGCGCGCGCTCCTCAGCCGTCCCCTCACTGAAGGGCGGGGGAAGGGACAGAGCCTTGCCCTCTGCCGAGGACCCGGTGTCGGAGGTGGGGTCTGCCCCTCTCCCTTCTGCCCTGGAAACCGGCGTGGGGCGGGGGGAGAAGGCAACCAGAGCTTCTGGGGAGGGCTGGTGTCCCAGAGCCGGCGGTGGTTGATGCGGGTCTGAGAGACGTGAGCCTTCAGAGGCCTGCCGTATCTCAGCCCAGTCAGGGGGACACGGGTAGCTTGGCCCTCCCGGTATTGCCTTAATCTAAATCCAGAAGGAGCAGTGATGACAGATGCAGGTGGATTTGGCCTTTTTAGCAGTGACTTGTGGTACTCCGGGTAGAGGTGCCTTGGCTTGCATTATCTGTAACTGGCAATAGTGACACAGAGAGTAACAGACAAGTTTTGGTCTCAACGTGCTACTTACACAAATTTAAAACAGTGCAACTATAGCTATCTTAAGTGTTCCATGTCAAATTTGATTATTGTTTTATTTTGACTACTAAAGCCAAATAGCAGAATTCAGATTTAATTCTGAATCCTCTTAACGTGTTCAAAAGTTACAAAGAATGTGTTCTTATGGTAAAAAGCAGCTTGTTTGTGTTGGCATGGTGGCCTGTATTTTCCTAAAGCTAGGTTAAGAACCCTGACAACTTCTTCCACCGTTATGTTTATAAAGTTTCATAGTTACATATTATTTGGGTTAATCTTCAGTGTTATATATGCATGGTTTTCGCTTATGACTGTTTCCTTCACTTCTAGATAGAAAAACTATTCAGAAGAATACTGAAATAGAAAATCTAATTATCTTCAATGAAAAAAATAGATATGAACCGCTTGGCAGTCTGTCCATGACTATGGAGAATCAGATATTGCTTGATATAAGACCAGTATTAGACAGTGGACTTGTAACTGAAATATTTAGTCAGAATAGTCCTATTACTCCTGAAAACTTTAGTCTGGAAACTGAAGTCATTAATAATGCCTTTGAAGAAGGATTGCTCTCTAGTCAAGACAATCATTTATGCACTGTAAATGTGGGAGAGACTTTGTTAGATCACTTCCAGTATCCACTTACCATTGAAAATCAAAATACAATAGTAAAAGTTGAAGTGCAGCCACATGGAAGCAACATCTGTGATGATGAAGACCCTGAAAAATACAATGAATTAAATCTTCCAGAAGAAGCTGAACATATGCATCCACCCTATGTGCCTTCAAATGGTCTCCACTTTCTTTCTTCCGTAGCGATGCAGCATAAAAATTGCAGTGTTCCAACTTCCAACATTTTCTCTCCAGAAGGAACCGTTGAACAAAATGTCAGAATGTTACCAGTAAGATTAAGTGAAATAGGAATTTTTAAATATTCATGCTCATTTGTGACTTAAATGTGGGGAATTGCCACATTAAAACTTATCCACATAATGTTTAAAGTCATGTCAGAAATTTTATACTACAACAATCTTAATAGTAAACATAGAAATAAATTTGGTTTATATAGCCAGAAATGTATGCAGTATGAACATATGGTTCTGACTGCTGATCTTTTTTGTCGATGTTATAAACCATATTTTTAAATGCCTGGATAGTTACTTTGTTCATTAAAAAAATCTTACCATGTCACAAATATACCCACTTTGGTTTTATATATTACTGTCTTTATTAGCAACTATTTCATAATTGTACAAAATACAAATAGGATATTAACTTTTTTTCTTTAGTTCCACAGGTTACAGAACACACTTGTCATCTTAAAATTTATAGTCTGAATGAGTGGAAAAAGTAGTTTATTCGCAGCAGTAAGCCATAGCCTGTATTGTTTAATCTCCATGGGAAAAGTAGTTTTGTAAGAGAGAGTCGTTCCCTATTGCTTACCACTTTGGGCAGTTTTTCTGTGTAGTTTGAAGTTACATAATTGGATCAATTACTATCTAGAAAGGTATGAAGCATAAAACTTCTTTTGGTGCTCCCAGGACCAAATCCATCTGCTTAATGCAGACTATTCATATATAGAATACTTATATGTCCTTGCATCTTTCTTTATGGTTGTAGAATATCATATGAAGAAATCTCCAAATTTTAAGTTGAAATTGAAGCATTGAGCTCTCTTGAAATTATTGAGCATACCAGTTGACATTTTTTTCCATGTAAATATTTTGATAAACAATGCTGTTCACAGATTTAAAAAACAAACAAACAAACAAAAACAAAAAAACCCCAGATTAAGAAAACAAAACCAAGAAGAAGAAAATTCTAGTCAGGTTATAAATAATTTTATTGAAATAAAGAGAGCTCATTTGTCTTTTCTACACTGCTTGCTTATCCTTTTAAACTTCTGTCTATACAAAAAGGAAGCACGCACGGGTATAGAGCAAATTGTCTAGTTCGAACAATCTCAATTCTAATTTGAAACTAGAAAATAGTTGGTTTCTGTCGCTCTTCCATTTTCTGCTCATTGGTTTGGGTTTGAAAATACAAATGTAGGTAGTAAGTAAGATGCTATTATAGTTGTAAATGCGTTAGATCTGAACCATAACCGTATGTTGAGCAGAAAAAGCAGAAAGAATATTCAAGGTGTATAACAGTATCCTCTAATGCTGAATAGGCCACGGCATTTATGTGCTTAATTACGTCATGAAAATGTAAATAACTTCCAAATTTCAAGTTCACTTTAAATCAGTTTTTTGTCTAATCATTTGGCTTTTTAAAAGTGAATTGTTTAATGCATAAAATAGTTATAAATAAAACATTCTTTTCTTCAGGTGTTCAGATCATTCATACCTCCACTTGCAGGTGAGAATAAATGTATTTGTTATGATCAATTTAAAGGAATCCAAAACAGTACTATACAGTTACAAAATTTGATCAGTTGCTTAAATGGTAAGTGATTTAATGCCCCAAGTGATTGAGGGCTGTTTTTTTTTTCCTTCCTCATACTAGCTTAGGGAAGGATTTAAATAGCTAATTTAATTTCTGGATTTAGCAAATTGCCGTATGAGCCTTTTCTGATAATGTTAAATAACTAAGAACATTTGAAAGGAGAATGGACCACCCTTTGTTCATATATGTTTATGTTGCTTCAACCACATACTTCAGTCTTTGGATTTTCACTTCCTCTCGTACCAGAGAAGGGACTGGGAAGAAGATATTCCTTGCAGCGCTTGAGTTGAACGATGTTTTTATCTCACTTTGAAATTTGACCACCGGTTAAGGAAGTTAGGTGGTTTGCACTGATGCTGTTGATGACTGCTTGTGAGGAATTGTTTGGTGTGTTCTGCCCATAACCTATTCACGATCCTACTCAGGCTTAAACTGACTGCTAGGTTTGATCTTACAAGATAGTTTATCCTGAAGCTAAATGAATTTTACCAAATGGGCACAATAATCCTTTTAAAGACATTGGAAAGACCCAGACCGAAGTCGCTTTTTTCCCCTGGAAGTCTGTTACAAAAGAATATTAAATATTTCTGTCACAAAAATGTAATGCTGTAGTGACATCAAAATATCTTTTATTGATGCTGTAAAGGAGTTCTTGGTATTATAAAGTATAATATTATAATTATATATCATAAAGGTATATAAATCACTGATCCTTTTGTAAACAAAACATGCTTTGTTTTATGTACTAGAATCTTCCAGTGATATCTGTGGCTTACCTCAGACTAGTGCTTCTATCTACAATGACATAGTAAGTATGCATGCAAGATTTTTTTATTATTGGAAGAATCTGTTCACATGTTGAATGTCTAAAATGTTGATATATTCTAAGCACCGGAGGGTAAAAGGTTCTTTCAAACACTTTCCTATCTGAACTGTTCACAAAAGAGAGGGAAAGAAAAACGTTGCTCCGTAGATTTCCTACACTGCTGCATTGTGGAGGAAGGAAGAATAGCATCTGGATTTTTTGCCTGTTTCTGTTCCTGATGGCTCAAATCTAGTTGGCTCCTGCCTGCCACTTCTACATTCTGATTCCAGTTCAGGCCAGTTAGGGAGGGGGCTCCTCCTAAGGCCACCTGAACACATATTGCCTAGTGGGACTCTGCCAAATACCTTTGGGCAGCTGATTTGAGCCTTTATTGAGCGTGCAGTGTACACAAAGAAACAGAGCTGAGGATGAAAATAAGGCTTTAACATTAGTACTCCCTGCCAATGGAGAGATGTTCTTTGCAACCTAATGATTCTGAATTTTTCAAATGTATTTTCCTAGATATGTGCAAGACAAACTATAGAAATTTAGGTATCTCATGAAAGGAAGATTTCTGAAAAATACTGGAATTTTGTAGCCAGGTTTTTCAAGGTTTTCTATTTGGTGTTTTAAATTGTGTATTGAAAGGTGTAAGGCTTCATCTGGAGTGTGACTTCTGTGAAGGTGACACTGTAATAAGTTAATGGATCAGCAAAATAGGGGATAGATTGATTTTCAACAAAAGCAAGTGGCACCGCATCTATGATGGAATGCTGTGACACACAGTAGTTGATCACTGTAGCAAAAGTTCATTTTGGAACAATCTGATTTATAGGTATAACTGAATTTGCAGTCCAGTCTCAGATGACTCCTCCTTGCTTAGACTAAATCCCAGTGATCCCCAGCCAAGTTATATAATTCAAGATTAATGCTTGTTTTGCATAATTTGCTGTGACTATTGCCTAACTTCTCCAAGGCACTTCAGAAATCAGTTGATGCTTCTTGATGGTGCAGAGACTGGTCACCATTGTTACTGTGAAGTACGTTACTGTTCATTGTTACACTTCAGGAGTATTCTTACTTGAAATATAAGCAGAAGTCATTCTGATATTGACAAGTAAATTAACTATCGTCAGTATTACATTTGAATACAATCCTTGCTCTAAACCTCATGATTTATACAGATAATTTTTTAAAATTTATTTTATTTGCTTGGAATTTAAAATAGATTTTAAAGCATGCCTGCTAAGATTTAAAACTTTATATTTCAGGCTGAGGTAAGAGAGGCAGTTAGTAATATTATCGAAAATCACCAAGACAGAGCAATTCTTCAGAGTTCAAATGTTGACAAGTCTGGCTGCAAGTTATTAACATTGCACAGTGTACCGGAGGAATCCAGAGGTTCACACAGAAATGATCCCAATCCTGTGGTAATTATATCCTGCAATTGATAGCAAAATTATATGCTAGAGAAAATTAACTTATTTGTACCACGCTGGCATCAAGAAGTCCCATGCAATAAATGCTGCATCAAGAATAATAAGGCAGTCCCTTCCCTGGACTCAGAGTCTAAATTTTATCTAGTTACAGTGCTACTTTATATATATATATTAAAAAGATATTATTTTCTATTTAAAAGCTGGGAAAAAAAAGCAATGAAAAGATTACTTCATCTGAAGGAAAAGTCTTGATTTAAAATCACAGCTAAATAAATGAAATGTAACAGCAACAATTACAATGGCATGTTCTGGTTAGGGAGCTGAATCTGAAGCCAGCACACTAGTGAATACCTAGAATATGCCCTGCAAAGCCCCATGGAGCAATTTAGAGAACTGTGAATCCATATTGCTTAGGTCGAGGAGCTATAGTGTTAGATCTCAACAGCTGCTTCCAAAGATAAATTAAAATCAAGGGTCAAAAAGCAGACATCTGACACATAATGATCCAATTGTTGAAGAGATTTCAGTGTGTGACTATGAACCTTTGTAAGACAGGAGCTACTCTTATGGAAACCTTTATATCTATATGCTTAGAATTACAGTTTCTTAGATGAAAGCTAATTATTAATTATTCATTCCAGGTTATCTGCCAGCTGGAAGGAGGTACTCAAATACTCTGTATAAACAGTTGTGGCACACAAGAGCTAAAACCAGTCCATCTAATTCCCGAGTATCATGACCAACATAATTATCTTCAATCAGGTACAATGAAAGTAAAAATTATCTTTAGCCTGTCAGATAATATGTCATATGTCATGTTAATGTGCAACTGCCTGTGTTTATGTTCTTAAGCAGCAACAGTGGGAGATAAGCCAAAGCTAATGTAGCTATCACCAGTTATTATTTCATTTTATTTTATAAATGAAAAATTGCTAGGTGCTTCAGTGTAATAAGAATGATGGATACGTTGAATGTATGGAAAGTTTTTAATATACAGATTACTTGCCATATAAAGCACATTTAATATGAGCGCCTGCATTCATTTGCCTTTACCCTAGCTTGCCACCAAGTGTCACCATTTCTCTAGAAATGGTGAGCAGCAGTGTTAGGAGTATACTTTAGCCTTGGGATTCAGAATGTCTCACTAAAGTTTATATAATTATGTGAGCTGGAAATGCCATCAGTTTTTAAATAAAGTGGTTTCTGAGATCTTAAATGTAATGCTGTTTAGATGGAGTAACACATTTTCATCTGAGCTTCAACAAAGTATTTGAGTGTAGTTTAGTTTTAATTTAAATATATCTAAATATAGCTTCCTCTAAAACATTATTAACATGGCTTATTTCATTATTATAATGTTAAAATTATAATTTATAAATAATATATATTTGTGTATATATAAATTATATGATGTATCATTGAATATAAATATATTTATATTAATAAATTAGAATTTCATTATAGTGCTGTATTTTGATAGGCATGTGAAAACAAAGCCTTTTAATATTAACCATACAAGCATGGATATTGCTCTAGATATCAATAGGTGCTGAGTGAGAATATGTCTCACCAGGTGCTCCAGGCATGGAGCCTGTTTAATTCTTTTTTTCAGAAACCATCAATAGAGTTAACCAGCCACATTCAAGTTAAAGGTCATGTTCCTTTATAAAATTCAAACTCATTCATTTACAGAAGTTTTAGGGGGCAATAAACTGAGGAGGAGTGCACTGGCATATGTTTTTTAGTTTTTATTTGCCTGAGCTTTCTTCTGCGATACCTTCAAAACAAGGAGAAGAATTAGTTCTAGAAATTATATCTAATTATATTTATATCTACAAACTTCTATGGACTGAGCTCCTCAACTTTTGAATTAAGCTGTCTTCCTTTTCTTTTTTTTTTTTTTCTTTATTTGTAATCTTCCTATGACTGATGTTTGCTTGTTTCTGCATGGGCTACAATGGTCATGTATTTATGTGCAGTTCTTCACTAGGACTTACAAAAGGCTTACTCATACAGCTAAAGTCTTCTCCATGGGTTTTTAGTAATTTTTTTCATTAATTTTTTTTTTCTGTTCCAGATTCTCTCTTGGAACTCTGGAAATTTGTAAAATAAGAGCTCAGAATAAATATATTTAATTGTTTCTGACATTTTACTTATTTTATCAAAATATTTTAAGTCTATGGCATTTGAATTTTAGTGTACTTGATGTCATAGAATAAAAACATCCTACACTCAAATTCCTAGATGACTGATTGGCGGTGGGTTCTTCTGTCAGGGGTATTTTCGTGTGGTCAGGTTTTTGTTCTTATTTTTTTTGCAATGGGAAAAACATTTCTGGAGAGAAAACTTCTATGTCCTTCAATGACACTATTTATTGTAGACTAAGTTTGTATTCAAAACTAAATTGTAGGAGAAGGTGCTAACAGAGGACAGACAGCCTCAGGTAATTTTTTATTAACCAAAGTAGTTGAAGATTCCAGTTTGCCTGTATGCTTAATTAAAAAAATATTTATGCATAAATGAAACTTTATACACTGTGAGTAGTTCTGCTATCTTCAGGTAAATGTCTTATTTTCAGATGTGGACAACCCTGTAACATCTGTACCGGGACAGTTTTTGCCTATTCCAGGTGAACCTGTTCTGAATGAACAAGAGGTAAAGAAGCTTTATCCTCTAAAGTTGTTAAGTACAAGACACACTCTTTTCCTTTCCTTAAAGCAGGGTTAAATCTGTGTTGAGAATTAATAATTGTATGCATTTTCTAAAGACCATTTAGCTAGTTTGGACAGATTAGTTCTGCACTCAGTATACTTTCTGCATATAAAGGTTAATGATTTCAACATTTTCTAGAAGTAATACCAGGATTAAGAATACAGTTTTCCATTGGGAAAATAAATTTGTTCCCGTGTTGAAATCTTGAATTTGGTATTATATAGATTATGTCATTTCTGAGAACCATTTTAAGACTCTTTAGGGTGGAGGAAAGCACATTGACTTTTACCAGAAGGGGAATATTTTCTTCTAGTAGGGCTTCTGACTCTCTTATTTTGATTAGGATTTAGCAGTCATTAAGTCTTTATAGATCTGCAGTGTGTTTTCTTGGCCTGATTCTATTTTCAGATTTTGTGTAGTCTTCAACCAATTAGTTGTCATATTGCAGCTGAACATAATGTAAATCGTCAAGTCACTACCCAGTTTCAATTGACTGCAACTTAAAAGAAACTGAACCTAGAATTATCAGTGAATTGAAAATAGTGCACCAACGCTGCAGCACAGAAAACTGGTTTTGTATCTTTGCATTAGGAGAGATGGGATTCCTGACATACTGAATGGTTTCCATGAGGAGATACATTCCATTTTCATGACTCTCTACTTCCATGAGTTGTCAGTAACTTTGGCAATCAAATTATCCCTGAAGTGTTTTGTTTTCCTTTTTCTCTGTTAACTTGCAAGAGTATTTTTTTTAAAGTTAACATAAATAGCATTTTATCTTGAACAGTTTGAAAATGGACCCTTACAACCAGTAGCTGGCACTGCCACATTCCATCTAGAATCACATCTGCATGGGCCAGTGAAAATGACCTCAGAGGGGTAAGATGCATGAAACATCTTACATCCATGATGACTTTTTAATTTTAAACTGGCAGTGTAGCCTAGACATTTTCATGTTGCCTAGCTGCTTCTCTCTTGTGAAAAAATGGAGTTCTGTATGAATGCTTTGTGTATATATCTTGGTAGTCATGATGCCAGTTGCTGGCAGTCAAGACTATATGGCATAGTTTCAGGTTGTCTTAGGTCAGTGCAATTGTACTGTCTATTTGCTTGAGAAACGTTTTATTTTCTAAGTTAATTGATATGTTTCCAAATCTAATTAGCATGTATTTAGTCTGTATTTCTAACAGTAATGGAATTCTTTTAATAACATTTAATTGCAGATTATTTTTAAATAAGAGGCAGGTGCAACATCAGTGTGAAAGGTGAGAGAGCTTTGCTATTCCACAACCATTAGCAGGTTGTATGACCAAGGACAGACCCGTCCCAAGTAGTGACAGCCGGTAGACAGAGGAAGATTATGCTTATTCTCTTTTTCTCATGCACTCTGTGAGGCCACACTTACAAAGTAGCAACAATAATGGTGTAAAAAAATAAAATCTGCATTTATTTTTTCAAAACTATAGAATAATTAGTTTTTATTGTAGTTGTATTTGTATTTTTTTTTCTAATTTTTTTCCTTTTTCAACCTGTGTAGCTTACCTTTTGGTTCAGGGGTTACAAAGTCTAAGAAACCATGTAACTGCACAAAAACTCAGTGTCTTAAATTGTAAGTAATAGTTTATCAACATTTAATAAATGCTAATAACAGTGTATAGATGAAAGGGCAAACCTACAAGAAATATGTGCTTTAAAATGAACAGTATATATACGTCAAAAATTACTCATCTGATACTGAGTTAGAAAGATCCACAGTTGATGTAACTTGGTGTCACACAAGCTCAGAATTTGATGTAGAGGTGTAGATGATTGCATATAATCCAAAGTATAAAAAATAAAAAGAGAAGCTAGAAGAATTGTTCAGAGAATATCTGGAAAACCCAATGTAAAATGTAAATGCTGTATACTGAAATATCATTTCTCTGTCTTGCTGCTGTTCTTGTACATAAATAATATGCACAGAGATGTATACATGATAAATAAAGTTTGATTTGTTGATGGACTGGATGTATTGTGCAAAACATAAAATTAAAAGAGAGAGAGAAACCATTTGCCTAGGTTTGGATGTGATTAAATTACAAAAAAATGAACATTTTTCATGAGTAGGAACTACTTTTCATGAGTAGAAACATTCTGCCTAGACATAGAATTTAAATTTTAAATGTTACACTTAAACCAGTTTTCATTTCTTATGTTATTTTACATGTTAATCATAGATACTGTGATTGCTTTGCCAATGGTGATTTTTGCAACAATTGCAACTGCAGTAACTGTTACAACAATCAACTTCATGAAAGTGAGCGATTTCAAGCAATTAAGGTAAAAAAAAAAAGAAAAACGTTCAGTACATACTGGATTAAGCTTAATGTATGAAAAATAAAGCAATATTGTTTTTTCACCTAGTTACAGTATTTGAAATACTGTTATTTTTAACTTGATTAAAGCTAAATATTGCCTTTGTATTATTCTTACATAAAAAAAAAAAATAGGCGTTTTTTTCCTTCCTTTTATAGAACCTCTGATACTTTGGATTAAAACTAGTGATGTGTTAGGTGAATGATAATTTTTATCCTTGGAAGAAGTATTCAACCCCAAATTCAATTTCAGGAATTTTTTTCACTTGAAGGGAAATTTATCATATTCCAAAGTCAGACGGTAGTTACAGGAAAACAAAGTATTACCATCCAAATTATTATTCTCATTGACAGATCCTCTGCAGTTGCCTGTGTTAGTCTTTCTGGTTGACCCAAGCAGCAATGCAAAGTTGCCTCTTCTGGCAGCGATACTAATCCCTGCAGTAGTGAGAAGCAGGTTGCTTCTATATTTGGAGACTGATTTTACTAGTGGAATAAAGAATAATATGTGGGCTAATTTTTCTGTGTATATCAAACTGCATTATCTGGGCAATAATTTGATCTAATATGTATGTTATGTATTGTAAGTTTTAAGGTGATAATGAAAAGTCTTATTCTACTGCTGATGCTTTAAGGATATATTAATGGCTTTGTACTTCTCGTATGCAACTCTCCAGAACTCTTTTTATATCATTCACATAATTTTGGGATTGTGCAAGACATTGATCTAATTAGAGTTAGAGGTTTGCCACATCCAACTACCACAGCAGTTTCAGCTGTCAATATGCAACAACTAGTTTTCAAATCAGATGCTCATCTGTAGTTCAGCTGATGGGGTTACTGGTGTCTAAGCTCTCCTTTCACTACTGCAGATGGCATCTTGAGCGTAATAGGTCATGTTTGTCACTGATGAAAGCATACCTGTGCCATCCATAAATATTGTGTATAAAGAGCTTATAACTTCTCTAACCCGCCTTTTAGTAGTCCATGGCATTGTAAGGTCTTGGGATCTAATTAAAACCTTAATCCACTTCTGGTTTCAGTAAATGATCTTTGTATTGGGCCATTAATAAAACAAGGTATGCTTAAAAGTTCTGAAATGTATGTAACTAAGTATGTAAGGGTTCTTTCTTCACTGAGAACTGTTTATTTCTGGTGAAAGTAGCATCAGCAGTGAAAGAAAACCAGCCCTGAGAGAACAGTAGATGTGTCGTTTAGGTTATTCCACAAAAACAATGTAAATTGGTTCCTGTGGTACAGCCAAGTTGGCTTAGTGTTCTGAAATCTTTGAATTCTTGCTTTAACATGCCACGGAAGACTCCTTTATCCATGGGCTCCATACCACCGATAGTGAGAGTTGAAAGTAAGAACTTCTTTGTTAAACATTGGCTCACAGTCATTCAGATGTTTAAAAACATTTATTTGAATTTTTCATAATCTAGCAATTTTTCATTTAGGCCTGTCTTGATAGAAACCCTGAAGCTTTCTTACCAAAGATTGGGAAAGGGAAACCAGGAGAAATTAAACCTCACCATAACAAAGGATGTAATTGCAAGCGTTCAGGATGCCTCAAGAATTATTGTCAGTGCTTTGAGGTGAGTCATGTGAATTTTCCTCTCATCAGTTTCTACCTTAACATTGATTATATTCTGTAACTAGTACTTGTTAAAAATAATCACTTATCTTCTTTCTTTGTATTTTTCATCATAAAACTTTTTGAACATAGGAGGCACAGTCTCTTTCTTGTCATGTCTTTAAAGGACTGAAGCTGATCAGCCAAAATTTTCAGTATCAAGAGCTGTCAGCTAATGCCTTGCCCCAGAAGAAATGAGGAATGGTTTTCTGCTAATGTGGATAGTTTCTTTGCATTCATGGTATTTTGTTATCTTGCAAAGTTATCCACAAATTCAAAGAAGTGATTTGTCCATTTACAGAACTTAAATCTCCACAGACAATCCATGGGAAAAAGCCCTGTCCTCCTTCCTTACTGTATTGATACTGCTGGTCTTACTCCAGGAGTATCCAATACCAGCACATCTAGAATAAGTCCCTGGTGGTGTAGCTCCAATGGTTGCTCAAATATATGTTTGATTTAAGATATATACATTTTTCATTCAAAGTATTCTGTATTTGCCAGGCTAAAATTATGTGTTCCTCTATTTGCAAATGCATTGATTGCAAAAATTATGAAGAAAGTGCAGAAGAAAAAAACCAGCTGAATGTGCTAAACTACATGGAGATTGGAAATAGTGAAGGAAATAGCCCATTTTTAACATCAACATTCAAAATGTTACCAAAATTGAAGACAGACAGGTGAATATTTGGAAATAGCAATGCATAATCCATTGGTCTGACTTGATTAATTTTTCATGTAACCATTATCATAATCATCTAAGAAATAGTGATTAAAATGAAAGATGGCTTATATACAAGGAATCACTTCACATAACATTTGCCATTTGTTTCTATAAATAAAAAAAATATCTAAAGGAGAGGCTATAACTATTCTTAAGAGTATAGCTTACAGAGTTCTGGGCTATGTATAATAGTTCTGCTTCCAAAACAGAGGTTATTTTTGTATTGATAACATATTTCCTTCTCTCAATCTTTTTCCCCCTTTAGCTACTTTATGTTTTTCCTTCAGTTTCTCTGTTCGTTTTTGCTATGTTCAAGCATTCATTTCTAATAAAACCTTGACCACTTGACCAAAGAAGTAGAAAGAAAATTATGTTATCACTATGTTTGTGAGGTTCAGTTAATGTTTATATGACTGCTTCTTTCCCATTTCTCCTAACTTTGGTCCACCTCCTGTCAATTTTATTTGTGTTGGCAATTTGGATTGTAAAATATTCTAAGGTGGCCGTACTATCCTGATGTTGTTATGCTTTCTAACATAGTTGTAGCCAAATCTCTATTTTTGATTGGTTTATAATAATTTTCCTAATAAATAAAAACACCTGTCAATAATTAAAATTAATTAAACCACGTCTTAATTGATTTCAGGGAGCTTTACTTCAGGCTCTAAAATTTTCAGTTTGCATACATTATTTTCTTTGCTTCTTTCTATCAACCATTACCTTGAAATTCTTACCTTAATTCCATTTTTAAAATACTTTCTGATGATGTACTTTAAAAATATTTTAATAACTTCTGCTGTTGGTAGTGTATTGATGGGGTAGATGGTGCCAAGTTATGCTTTTGCTTGAATTGCACAGTAGATTGAGTTACCTTATTAATATAGTAGAATGAGTTACGATGTTCATGACCAGTAGTTTCAAGAATTTATTCAAAGCAAGGCTGCTAAGGTGCCATTCAGGGAATCCTTGAGGGGCTTGGTGTTGTTTCCTTTAGCAGCAGTAGACTAAATTTGCATTTAGTACTTCCTAGACCCTGACTATGCCTTTTAAACACATTTCCTTGTAGTTGTGACAGGATCTGACTATTGCATGCACATGGAGGAAGAGGCTTATTGTATAACCTTTCTCTGTCTGCACCTGTTGGGCAGCATTTACCTAAATTAATTATGCAGTGTGAACAGAGTCTTCCATGGGATAAATTAGAAAATCTTCAAAGCAATCTGTTAGAAGCAGAAGCTATTCGGTATAGAACAGTGAAATTCCTACAAGGCTGTATCTTACAGTAATAGTGCAGCTACTCGGATTCAGCTCTGTGCGTTCCAGCTCTTAACTGGGTTTTGCAGTTTGTCTTTTAAGTTATTTTGTATATTTAAAATTGAGATATTTCATATTGGTATCTTTTGCCCTGTTAGGCAACCAGCTTTACGCATGTCTTTGGAAGAAGTGAAAGCGACGTGTGCTTGCCTCCTGGTGCAAGCTGAAGAGGCAGAAAAAAGAGGTTACTCTCTCCGTCTAGCTGAGCAGATGATCATGGAGGAATTTGGGAGATGTTTATCCCAGATCCTACATGCATAGTTAAAATTTAAAGAACTGAAAGTTGAATAATGTTCAATGTATTATAAAGCAAATAAGTATTAATATTGATATATGTTGCCATAATCTCCACAATTTTGCTACTTTATGATCTTTGATTTTTCATAGGAATAGTTTCATTAACTTCAGCTGAATTATTTCTGAATTATACTGGTGTAAGTGAAACCAGCGCCACATCTGGCATTTTTCCAAGTAACTTAGTACTGTAGAAAGCTTATTATATTTTTTCGAAAACAGATTTTCCTCTGTAGTCAGTGCTTTCTGAGCTAATTCTTCAGTATTTACTTAGACTCTTATTAAAAGTAAGTTTAACTTAAAATGGCTTTATTGTATGCTTATGTAAGAAGAGATGCAGTAAAAATTGAGTAAGAATTTCCTATCTTAGTTTGGTTATTTTATGAATTGTGAAACAATTTCATTTCCAGTGGTAGTAGGCAAATATACCTAGGCAAAGTTTAGCTTTGGGTCATCTCTGTTTTGAAATCCAGTTTCTCTTAAAGCTTGGATTATCTGTTGTTTAATTATTCTTTTTTCTTATGTGGAGGTTTTCTCTGTGACATTTCTTCCTCTTCTCATTCTCACCATTGGGGTGATAATAAATTTTCTCTAATAGAAGTAAGCTATTTGCTGACATGTTTGTGGAAAAAGAAAAAAAATAATAAAAATTGTCATCTACATAAATTGACATTTTATATAAAAATTACTGCTCTTTGGCTTAGACATTTTATGCTAAGTTAATAATACATACTTAGATATTTTTGACATTTATGCTTCAAAGAATAAAGATGTCATGTTGATTAATGAAAAATTGCCAGTTAGACTGCATGCTACTTTAAAATTTTCTTTGATAAGAGTGAGGGCTTTTTTATTAGTGGGAATTGATATGTGAATGGATTGCATTTTATATCTTTCTTTTTAACAACTGCTGCTGGAGATTGCTGAAGGTCACAGGAGAAAATGGATTCTCAAAGCGATACGACACTGTCTGTACACTTTACGCCTTCCTGGGCCTTCCTGTTCCTAAGATGATTTCTCTTGGGTTTGGAATTAATACCTATATAAAGGCATAATCTTAAAAAATATTTGTCCCCAGGCAGAATTACTGTGAGGTCATGAATCAGAAGAGCACACACAAGGGCTGCAGTGTCAATAGATGCTCCATAAGGACGCAAAGCATGAAGAAAAGAGGAAACCAGCCTGCATTGCTAAATCATTTCTTGAAATCAAATCTCAGAAATCAACTCACTAAAATTCCCAGTGGATGTGAGTGAGGGCCAGTAGGACTAACACTAGTAAAGAAGAAACTTGGGTTAGGACTCATGAGGGATTAAAAATAGCAATTAGGAATAGAAATGCAAAATAAAATTTAAAATTATTGGGAGAAGTAGAAAAAGATAAATGCATTGTAAGAGGAACTGTTAGAATCTTTGAAAAACTGAATTTAGTGTAATACAGTCTCATCTTCAGATGCATCCTAATTTGAATACACACAGCAGGAGACAATGCCTTAATATAAAATGGCAAGTTATTATGCCCAAAAGAGAGATGAGCTGAAATGATGATGAAAAAATGATTAGGAAGAAAAATCATAAGATTTTGACTAGTCAAGAGGTTGAAAAAGAGTAAAAAAATCCCAGGGAAAATTTAAAAGAAATAATCCAGAGAATTAAAATGGAATTATGGTGGGAAAGATATGAAAATTCTACCGTGAAAAGTAAAGTGTAGGAGTGCAGGGGAGAGATACAAATGACACAGTAAGGGAAATGAATGAAGGAAACATGAGCTACAGCTTTGAGCAACATCCCTAAACTCTCATCTCTGATAAACATGATGTATATAATGCTGAGATTTTCACCCAGGGTGCTGTCTCAGTAGCCTTGAGGGAAGGTTTCTGCATTTTCTACATAAATTTTGAAGTCACTGTATAAATGAGACAGGCATAAATGAAATTAATATCAATCTGATAATAAAAAATACAAGGCAATAGGGTGTGTAAGAGTTTACACTGAAAACAACAAAAAAACGATGACTAGATGCAAAAAGCTGAAATTCGTTATCTTTTTCAAAATAGAAAGGTAAACCCTGTTTGATTTAATATTTTTTGTATTACAGAGGATATATACTCATTCTGTAAAAACGCTCCCAGGCTCCGTGGTGACTAAGATTATAAATGAACTCTGAAGACAAAAAATAAATACGAAACAGTAGCTGGTAATATAGAATGCAATAGACAAGCCTAGCAGAAGCAATTTCTATAATTGTTAAGAAACTGAAAAACTCTGTCAAAGAGGGTTATATATTCAATAAAGAAAACTAAAACTAGCTTTGTGCTCTTAACAGTAATGCTTTTTGCAGTCAGTGGTGAAATTATTTGAGAACAGCATTGTCAGAGCCACAGATTTCTTCCTGAAGCAGTAAGGTAAGAAATATGTATCACTTTTCTTAACTAAGTGCAGTCCTTTTGTACTAAAGAAAGGTTTGGTTTCATAATAAAGGTGAAAACTGTCTTTGGTAAAAGGGCACCAGAAATCCCATCCTGAGTAGGTCAACAGGTTGATAGCTGTACAGAAAAGATTGAGAAGAAAAACTTTAACTGAATAGAATTGAAGCATCTGGATACTATATTAGGGGGGAAATAGCTTATCAAATAAGTTGATAATTTCCACTCATACAAGGATGTTCCTACTTTCTGTTTCATACAAGGATCTTGGAAAGTAGATACTAGCGAATGGAATTTCATCAAATGGCTTTACATGAACAAGAACAACTAAGCAGAATTGCCATCATGCACTGCTCCTTCCTCTATGAAAGAGCTAGACAAAGCCCCAGCAAATTAATAAATAAAAAGGATAGCTATGAGATGAAGCCTGGGCAGATGTTATAGCAGCTTTTATATAGCTGCTATTTTGCTGTTATTGGTAATGGATCATCTTTTCTTTTTACAGTATTTTGTAATTTGTTCAATTTCTGAATATGGAATTATGATATATGAGAAATACACATTATTCGTGTTTCTGAGGAAACAAGCAGGAATAGACAAGCAAGCTCATAGATTCATAACCCCATGAATTACTTCCATTTTAGCCTTGCAGATAAAACACAAAGACCTTTGTGAAACTGGCAATGTGCCAGTCTCATCTGAAAATGAAAGAAACGTGTAGACATGGTTCTTCAGGGCATGCTCTAGTGCCCAAGATTACTGGTTTGTGGTGGGGTGCTGTGTGGGTGGGTGATGGTTTTTGATTTGGTGGTTGTTGTTGTGTGTTTAGGTGGTGGGTGGTGGTTTGTGTTTTTTGTGGTGGTGTTTTTTGGGTTTTTTTGGGGGGTTTTTTTTGTTTTGTTTGTTTTTTTGTTCTTGTTTTTTTGTGGTTAGACTCGATGCTCTCTGAGGTCCCTTCCAACCACTACGATTCTGTGATTCTGTGAAAATACCAAGAAATACTAGTCTTTTAAAAATAGGTAAGGATAGACATCATTTTGCTGCTTACAATTGCAAAGTTACTTGAAGCAAATGTTCCATCAAATGTCTTTTTTCTATTTCATTTTTTTACCTACAGGTACATCAGACAGTACTCTAAAGGCTTGGTAAACTGTTGTCAAGATTTTCAGTGCAGAGTCCAGGGGTCAGCACATTAAAATTATTTCAGAGACTTCTCTGAAATTCAGAAGTTCCGACATTTCTAAGAGGTGTCTTTTGGCTCAAAATCATGCAGTTCAGCTGAAGGGTGTTATAATGTCGTATGTGGTATTTTACTTAGAGGTATGTATTGATACAGAATAAAAATTATGTGGGGAACTGAATTTCTCATACATTGGATGAGAGAAGCAAAGCACAATACAATCCACTCTGTGAGATCTTTACATAACAATTGAAAGTTGCTACCTGATGCCTGCCCTGTTACTTAGGGTTGGAGTTTGTCCATATTTGATTAGGGCAAGCGTCATCAAATTTAATCAGCTGTTCTTAAGGATCTTAAAATGTTTCCCTTTCAGTGGACAGATTGAAAAAAAAAGTAAAACATATTCTGAAAGGTGACTCCTCTGTTTAGCCCACTTGGTCCATTTGAACAACTGACATATGGACGGATGAAGAAAAGGGTAAATGTCGAAAGAGACCTTTGTTTGAATGGAGTGCTGGATGCAAAGGAACAGGAAAGCAAATGGAGGTATGAAAGAGAAGCCTCAGAAAGAATGTCAACTGGAGCAAAGTAGAGAGGTATAAGAAATAGTTTCCAATTCATATTTATTTTGCATCAGTTTGAGGTAAGGGGAGGAAAAAAGAAAGATGTGAATTATATGGTGAATGAAGAGGTGAATCTAAGCTACCAGTTAATTTCATACACCTATGAAAAAGCTTAGGTTCAAGAGAATATTGGAATGGATATTTTTAGTAGAGAGGGGAAAATGTTTGTATTATTTTGTAAAATGCTGATAAATCTTCATTTGGAATACTGTATATAGCCCTGGTCATCTGTGCTCTAGAAAGATAAACTTAATTTGGAACAGATGCAGTTCTCAGAAAGGCTCCTGGGACAAATGAGAGAGTGGAATATTGGTCTTGAGGTGGAGAGAACAAAGGAGTTTGATTTAGTCTAAGCAAATAAAGGCTAAGAGGAGCTATGATTCCTCTTTATAAATCAATTCAGGGGATAAATATTGAAGAGGGATAGAAGCTGTTAAAGGATACGTATCACTTAAATTTTTTAAGTTTTCTAACCATTCAAACAGTAAGCTTCTGAAATGGTCTTCCAGACAGGATAGTGTGAGCCAGGAATCTAAACTATTTAAAACTGAAACTTCAAAAATTGCATAATTAAGATGTTCCCTGGAGACAATACATTTCATCTGTGATACTAGGTTTTGGGTGTCTATACATTGGCATAGTCAAGGGATTTTGAAATGAGAGACACTAGATTATGCCATGTTCCTCTTGCATGAATCTCATTCTTCAGGGCTTTTGCCAGTCACCTACAGCATGCAGA